GGGCTCACTGCATTGTCAGTTGATCTGTGGGGTTTCTTTGCTTGAGGCATAGGATCTAAGTTGCGACTGTCGGCTTAACCTGAACAGCCCAGCTGAAGTACATTGTATCGGGGATAAGATATTAATTATATGGCGAGACAAGGGGCACTAACCGCGGCATCTGGACTCGCACTCACAGCCATGAAGGACTCTGCTGACCCGGCGAAGCGGAAGCAAGGTTCGGAAGATGCCGCCCTAAGCCCGAAGCAGCTGCGTCAAACCCTGCATCTGCGAAGCTCAAGGATCGAATCTTAGGGCCTTCAACAACGCTAGAATGAATTCTTGTGGAACTGTTGCGGGTGCTTTGAAAGGCTTCATGTGAGAGTGAGAGTCCTAATTGTTGGAATAGGGCTCTATACACATACAGATACATAAATACGTGTTGTGTGTAGCATTTGTTGTAAGGACAGAAATATTATGAATAGGGTTTCGGGGTATATATTAGTATCAGTATGTATATATACATCTATAATTATAATATAGGGACAATTACTGCGACGACGATTACTACGGCGACTGCCACTTTACACTTATATACGCATAAATAACCCTACACTAGAGCCCATTCCAACTCGGAGCCCCCCCCCCCCAAGCCCTGCCCTATACCCTAAACCCTAACCCAAGCCGAAGGGCCTTCGAGCCATCATCAAAGGCCTTGACCACGATAGCCTCAAGTCTGGGATCTACGGAGATTCTAGAAGCTCTCTCAGAACTCTACAAGCAACTTCTTACATGGCTTCTGCAAATGAAGCTTCGGCCAATTTCAACTCTATAAGCTCCCGTTCCACAGCTCTTCTTCTTCTTCCACACTGCTCCCCAAAGCCCGAGCTGTCGCATTTCCTTACAGTAGAAGCCAGAAAGTTGGAATATGATTATCCTACCGCTTTAAGGTAAATTATAGGGTATCCTACCATGAAACCATATTCCAACTTTCTGGAGTTCCCTTTATGACGGCCGAAGAAGGAGCGCCTTCCTTCTTGTTGGGGACAGCATCGGTCCCACAGCGTACAGGTACCAATAATCATACCATTGTCTTACGTCGTACATGTACATACATCTGCACAGGTGTATATGTACATGTATGTACATATGTACTTGCATAGATACACGTATATACACACCGGTTAAGGAATAGGTGGAACGAAAAGAGCACCAAGAATACAAACCCATGTGGAACATTTGTCAGGGTGTATTGTACGGGCCGGAATAATTTAGACAAGCATCTGGGCTCTATGTAATTAGTATGAACTTTTCCGACCCCTCTGTAGGCGTAAAGGAGATATGTAGATTACTTCTACAGGTGCGGTATTCATACCGGGGCTTAGGAGTAGGGCATGAGCCCATGAAGAGTGGGAGGAGCAGCAAATGAGAGCTTTTTCCAGATACCCGAGAAACTCCGAAAGAACCTAGTCTCCTCGAGTGGGACGCGACGGGTTTCAAAATCCAGGGTTTAGGATGGTTTAGGGCTTCTGTGGTACACTGCTCCACAGGGTCTACTGTCAAGGGTCTTAGGGGTTCAGGGTTTACCTCTTCAGTACCCCAAGATCAAGATCCTCTTGCATCTCTTGGTCGGATCCACCCTACTCAAGAACAGTCTGCATGAAAACGAGATCTAGTGCCGCTCTCTACCTTGACATGATCTTGCATTAGTTCGGTTTGTAGGGATCTTGATGAACAAGTATCACACTGTGTTGCTGGGGTTCGACAGAGCTGAAGCGGTCCCACATGTAGTGCAACAGCTGCACGATTGTTACCAAGTTCAACTCCTCGAAACCCCACAGATCTCCCCACACTCCAACAGTCCTCACCCCTCCATCCCTAAACAACCCTTCGTACAGAACCTTCACGGAGCAGTATAGGACCCTTGATAACAACACCCTTCGAGCCTTCTTGCCGGCGTAGCGCCCCTCCGGAGGGATTCGGGCGCTTTCCCCGTCTCGCCAAAACACTAACAGCCAGTACAGGTCAGTATAGTAAGCCCCCAAACCTTAAGTAACAACCACGAACTATGCATGTATTCCCCTGTAAACCTTTTAGGAAAACCCTTTGTATACAGCTTTACAGGGCCCTTTTAGCTTTGGGCAGGTTTCTGTGCTGTGCTCTGGGGAGTCGACTCGCGACGTCACTGCGTGCCGACTTGAGCACTCAAGCCCAATCAGTTAGGGTCCATGTCCGTCTCACGCATGCGACCGAGGATGCATTCTTTGGTCTTGTTGTTTTAACCGCCCTTTTCCTACAGAGTCTGGGGTTTAAGGTGAGGGTATAGGTACTGCTACTGCGGGTACCACTGCCGCTGCTTCTCATGCTGCTCCTTCGAGGATGTTTGATGCTACAACCCCGTCATCCTCCAGGCGCCGAGCACTGTCTAGTGTTGGCTTGCCCCTCATAGGCTTTCTAGTGGTGAGCAAAAGCAGGAGCAGCCCAGACCCCCGGGAGGATCTAAACAGTAGATCCCTTCAGGGGGTTCCTATAAAGTACCCTTTAGTAGCTAGGGTCCCAAATTAGGGGATCTACTTTTTAGATCCTCCCGGGGTCTGGGTAAAGGACACCCCTGACGGATTGCACACCCCAAGCACCAAGAACACCCTAGTGCCAATCCCCAACTTGAAGCACTGCAACCCTGATATACGGGCCTTGATAAGTTCGGGTTTTGGGGCCCGTTATACTATAATCTGAATGAGGAACCATCAAAATAGAATAGTCGGTAATTATTTAAGCCCCTAAATGCCCCTATTATATTACTCCCCCGATGCCTTCCAAACACTGACCCCCCCTGGCGCCTGCAACATCACGACCACCCTTCCGGCTTTCAGGAACTTTCCTCAGGTTCAGACAATATGCTTTTAGAGTCGAAAGAGCTATGATGAGTTTAGGATTAGGGAGGGTCGGGGGAGCCATCCTGAAACTGAATATCGAAAGACATATGCTCACCGATGCCAGTCTGCCCTCACCCGGCCGTAGGCATAACGTTGGCAAACCCAAACCCCACACCAAGCCTACTCACTAGTTGGGGGCTCAAGATTCGGGCCGTACCTTGACTCAAACCCGTTGCATTGAGGCCCTCTTTAAAACTCCTTTCTCCAGACCCTCCTCATGCTCTTGAGGGCTTAGGGTGCAGGAGCCTTGGTTTAGGGTTTGAAGGCTGGCTTAGGTCCGGATAGCTCAAACTTGTCTTGGCTTGCCGAGATAGGCGCGCCCGGTGCAACAACTCAACATTCAATGAAGTGTGATCTGATACCATGGAGCCCAAACTCCGACCCGAGGGACCCAAAACGAACAACGAAGACAAAAGCACAAAACTCGACGCCGGAAGAGTATGGGAACCCTAAGCAACCCCAATTCCCCACACTTTTCACCTTCGGTTCGATGTCCTTCTCTGATGGTTATTCCTGCCTAGAACTGATAGACATGCTCTCAGACGACCCTGGGACTGGTACTTAACAAGCCTCCCTTCAAAACCTTTGGATGCACGTCTGGTGGCCCATGCTTGTAACTTTGCGAGGGCTAGCTCTTTCTCTCCGCCTGAACTCAGCTAGAGCCTGAAAGCCACGAAGCAAGACCAGACCTCTCCATGTCTGTAGGCTTCAGACGTGGGGAAGTCTAGAGTCTAGGGTTTAGGGGCTGGATTGAGGCTTCATGGCATGTACCCCCCAGCACGACGACATCACCATCATCGTCATCACCACTGTGAGCATTGCCCAGTTTTGCCATCATCGTGAGTACAGCAACCATGACTCCACATCATTGCCAGTGTCTTCGTGGAATCATCAACGTCCTTAAAAGCCCTAATCATCCGTAAACCCCGAAACCTAAACGGCATCATCATATCCAGTGTCATCGCCATACTAGGCCCTCGGCGTCGTCATCATGATTCTCTTTACTAGGCTCTGTCTCATGGCCATCATGCTCATCTGCCGGCAGACAAAAGCCGCAAAGCAGCGCTCCTTGGGTCCTTCATCATTGTACTATAGGTAGAGTTCGAGATAACACCAGAACCTTTTGAGCAACCCTTGATATCTGAAGGAACCCTTAAAGAAACCCTCTGGTTCTGACGGCCCCCCCCCCACCCCCCAACACCCCGAACCCCAAACCCTAAACCAGAGGCCCTTCTTTTCACTGCTCGCGCGCGCGAAAGACGGCTTTGGAGCGCTGGCCACGGCCACGGCGGGACCCTTGGGGCTGGTGGCCTCGGGAAGTCTAGCACCCAGACCCTCCAAACTGCTTTAATTAAGGAAGATACTGGCAATTTATAATCGGATCCCTGATATGATTTAGATAAGGTGTACATACGGTTGATGATATAAATCCTGCATTACCCATTATAAGGAATTATGCCATACTTCCCATAGTTTCGGGCCCTTAAAGTAATGCAGGGTTTTTACCATCAACAGTATGTATATATATATATATATATGCATGTGGGAAGCATTCATGAATACCTATTAGTCTCCATTGCAGCTCCGCTTTTGGAAAACCATAGAAATAGCTAGAATCCTGTAATAAGGTAATCCTAACAAGGAACTACCACGACTATAGGTAGAAAAGGGTTTTGGTGTAAGGTAGGCGATGACTATTTTACGGAGCCGCTGACAGAACTCAGACACTAACCCAAGCCCCGAAAATTGTAAGAATACTCGTGGGCCCATCAGCCAAACCTGGAGGTTACTCACTATTGGCCGTGAAAATCTCGTGGAAGGCATCTTATTCAGGGTTTTAGGGTGTAGAGCGGGCGAACATACAGACACACAGGAAACAAGCGCGCACACACCCACACAGACGCACATCTGCATGCATCAGACAATGTATTCAGGATGCGTAAATCTGTCGGCATGATGCAAGAGCAGCTCACACTGCCAAAGAACCTAAACTCTAAAGCCCTAAAGCCCTAAGACCCTGCCGCCAACGACAGTCAAGCAAATCATCGCAAGCCATGCAACCTTGCCGGTGTCATCAGCGGCAGCTCAATTACCTGACGGAAGTCGGAGGGGTCTGAAGTTCTGAAGCCATTCGAGGCTCAGTTGCGGTTAACTACATGACTACTTGTTCGATGTTGAAAAATGTGGCACTCCACTGAAAAGCTCAGCAAAGCTTCAGAATGAGAAGCTGCAACTGCTGGCTGGGTGGAGATTGGAAGATCAGCGGGATTACAGAACTTTGTAACCTATTGTAAAGAAAGCCTCACCAACAACAACCTCAGCCGAGAGTCGCTTGCGCTTCGTGGGCACCTGGTGCATTCTCATGCATGATACACTGGGAAGGGCAGGTGAGGATCATGAGTGTCCGCAATGAGCTTATGGGTCATGTAGTTCGGAATTTACCGAGCATGTGCGACCAAGTAGGGCCAAGTATTATTATAGGGACGATGAGGGACGATGACAGGCATGAGTGCCATTCTAAGCAAGCTCCTGCATTATGATTATGGTGACCACTAAAGCTGCTGGAACTGATTGGATTTATGGCTTACCAGCAACTGGCGAGGCTGTGATGGGGCGCAGACTGCAACGTCACCCTCGATAATCTATACGAGCGCAAGCGTGACGCTGCCAGAACTAATCGTGATGCCTGCCTGAAGGACCAAATGACCCTTAAAAGTAAGGGTCCCTATACCCATATACTATGAATCCCTATATGATATATGTACGTTCAACTATTTTGGGGTTCATTGTCATGTGGTCCTTAAGGTGGATCCGCCTGGCGCGGCTCCCAGTTCCGGGGATAACGGCGCTTATCAACACGTGACAGTGCCAGGGACTGTCTTGAAGCCACCACAGCCTTCTAAAACCTAAAACCTTCCGAGCTAGCTCGGTGGTGGCCATGCATCCTGCAGCTGAGCAACACTGCAGAAGTCCAGCTCCTGCTGCCTTGAAGGCTCTCAGGTCAAACAGGGGTCAAAGCCAACCGAAAAAGCTACAGGGCCGAGGGGGCAGGCGAAAGTGAAGAGCCCCTCCGTTAAGACTTGAAAGACTTCACAGATCTGGCATGTTCTCAGTGTCATGCACCTTCAATATATCGAGAGGGACTCTGCGCAGATACACATCCGTATCTGCGCCGGTCATTCTAGCACTCCGAACCCAAATACTAAACCCAAGGCCCCAAAACACTCTGCAGCAACAACCCGTAAGGTCCTGAAACCCCGAAACCCCAAACCCTCACAGTCCCATAAGCCCTATGGCCCTATGGCCCTATTGGCCCTATGGTGTTGCCAACATTAGGATCCCTTTTTGGGTACCCTAAATATTAGGTGCCGTATTATATCAGGGACCCCAGAAGGGACCATAGTTTTTGGCAACCACCCCTACAGTGCCCTACAGTTCTCAATGGCCCAATCAACCCAAGTTACCCAAGTCCCGAAACCCTAAACCCCAAACCCAAAACCCTAAACCCTAAACCCAAACCCCTAAACCATAAACCCTAAACCCTAAACCTTTTGCCACCGCGTTGCAGCTCACTGAGGTGCATGGCCCCGAGCTCCGCACTCAAGCCGTCTCTCCTTGGTCTGCGGCTTTTGGGTTACTGGACCTTAGATTGGCTCTTAACAAATAGTTAAATCGTTAGGGGGGTGGGGGCGCATTTTAGTCTGCATTGCGCAATTATTCAGGATTCCTGCAGGGTTCTATGCAGGTTATTAGATTTACGACAAGCGGAGTCGCCACAAGTAGTATGGCACCAGGAACTGATCGCGCTGGATGTCGTGAGACCTCGGCTGGACGGCCCTTTATTGCCTGGTCAAAGTATTTAACATAGCGGCTGGCATGTAGGTGCGCAGTCCGAGTTTCCACAGCGACTAAGCCGGATGAATCTTCAACTTTCCACGGTCGGAATAACAACCTATGAACGCCAGCATGCCTAAGCACCAAAAGTGCAAGCCCCAAGCCTCCGAAGCACTAAACTCCACCCGAACGAATGCCGAAAGACAGGGGTTGAGCGACCTATCTTTCCTCCAATTCTGGCAGCCTTTTTTCGGTGTAGGTCATCCCTTTTTTGCTAAGACCCTTCAACTCATTGCGACATCTACACCTCCATGTGTTCGGTGCTGTAAACTGTAATGTCTAGGTATAGACTGTTGCACATGCACATGTACACCCTAAAGGCCTCCAGTCTGACAGAAACAAGGAAGAAACATAGAGGCTCAGCGGTCTGAATAGGTGGCAATTCTATTCCCCCTCTAGTCTTTTTTGTAGTCCATCCTAGTTTTAAGTAGACTCTGATCTACCCCAACACCCTACGTATTCCAATTTGTTAAGACCCAGTAGAAATCAACCATCTGGTTTACTTACCTTTGGCTAGTAGGGACTGGAAGAATGGTAGTAATCGTAGTTATAATTGTACCCCATTCCTCCATTCCCTACTAGCCAAAGGTACGCTTACCAAGATCTCACGGCGGGGAAACCTGAAGACCCACAGCTGGGCACAAGAATGGCGTCATCTTTCAGTAAACCCCCGAAGGTAAAGCTGCCCAAAATGTGCGGTTGTTGCTTGTTGTTTGGTGTGTGCGTGTCTGCGTGTGTGCTTGTTTGTCTGTTTTTGTCTGAGTGTGACGGTGTGTGAGTGCTTCCATTTGTTGTTTGTTGGTATTAGCTGCGTGTGCCAATCCAAAGAGGCGGCTGCTGGAAGTTGTCGATCAGGATCCCTGTCAAATGAAACAAGTATGGTTATTGTCTCCATCCCTACCTGTCGCTACTGCTCCTCTCAAGCACTTGCTCCCTGGTCTGTCATAGCAACTGCCCGGAAGCTCCGCAGTAGTTCCTTTGGGGACTACGTCATAAGATTTTGAATATGAACCCCCTCCAAAAAAAAGGAACTTCTATGGAGCCTTAAGGTGGAGCCCAAAGGGCATGTTGTATGTTCCCTAAACCCTAAAACCCAAAAACCCAAGAAGCCGAAGGGCATGTTGTATGTTCTCTCGAAGGCCGTCTTCACATCCCCTGCGCGCTCGTGATTCAAGTTGCGGAAGATCACGCAGCTTTCGAAGTAATGCAGCCTCATGGTCCAGGGCTTCGGCGCTCACACTCGGACAATCCAGGCGAGGCATGTGGGTCGGAGTCTGCCAATGTGAGGCAACGCTGAGGGAAGTAGTCAGTATGATCAACAACAGGGTTTAGGGTTTAGATTTTAGGGCGCAGCTTTCGTTCGAAGGTTCAATTACAGGGGCTTGAAGGTTTCGGCTGGATGGAGAATAGCTACTGTAGACGCTCCTTTGCTACGGCGGCCGACTTTTATCTGAGAATTTGTCCTTGACGTGGCGGTGCGAGTTGGCATTTGAGGCTTTTAAGTTGTAAGGGCCTATGCAGTATTCCTTCCGCTCTTGGTAGCTCATATATACCTTTGAGTACTACTACAATGTTTTGAGACTGCAACCTGACCTCCTCAGCTGACGCTGAGTACAACCTGCCCTACACAAGACACCACCATGAATATCAGGATCCACGGATACAGTTGCCGCAGCGCGTCCCCATGAACCCCCAACTAGAATGCACCGTAACCTAGGAATAAAAAGGCCTCCCTCTTTGGTGTTGGGTAACTTTCAGGGAACCTAGGACTACAAAAAGGGAATAATGGTACTACTGGGCATCCTAGTCAACCCTAAACCTTAAATCCTAAACCATTGGGGCTCCCGCATCGGCCAAAGCTCAAGATCTTTTGGGTCTGATAAACCCAGACGTTCCCAAACTCCCTGAATTAAGGACTGTACCGATTTATAGTAGAATCCCTAATATGAGTTAAGGCATATTCCGCAATTACCAAAATCCCGTAATTAAGGAATATACCTGAAAGTATTATAATGGGATCCCGAATATGATTTAAGGTACATTCCGTAATTAAGGGATTTGGGAAGGTCTGGTATAAACCCCCCTGCCGAACATGGTCGCACTTATGAGCTGCGAAGAGCGAGGACTGGGTCGGTTTGGGAAAGAACTCGGGTTTCTGGGAGTTGGGCCCTAGGGGTTTAGGGTTTAGCGTTTAGGGTTGAGGGTTTCTGGGAGTTAAGATTAGGGGCATCCTTGGGGATATAGACCCTCCCAATAAGGCCCTTTTTAAGAGAGCCAGAAGTAGGGTTCAGACGGGGTACCCTTTAAGGGTTCTCCCTAATAATACTACCAAGTTTCTCGCACCTAAAGCGTCAGACGCTGAGATCGGCGTCTTGACACCCATACAACGACCCCCTAAACCCTAAACCCTGAACCACAACAAGGGCTCTAGTGACCCAGAGCCCTATGACCGTCCAAATCCTTGAGCCCCTGACCCCAATCATAGCCCTAATTCCCAACAGTGCTAACATCCGGCAGCCCTAACCACCCAGAACAAACAACATCTGAAAGTCAGAACTGATATGTTGTCGAAACATATGATAAACAAACTAGGCTTGTCAAACTCATAGGGTTTTAGGTTGCAAGGCCCGGACGGAGTGAATGGCTTTGCGGCGTGATGCATGGTAGTCATCAAGTCCTGCCGCACAAGGACTTTCGGTTTCCGATCCTATTATAGGCTTTGAGTTGGCGAGAAGCAGTTTGACGAGAACTGTAGCAATGAGGGTTAGCATGAAGCTGTAGGGCATTAGGGGTCGCCAGGGCTGATTCTTCCCCTAAACCCTAAACCCTAAACCCTGAACCCTAAACCCTAGACCCCTAAACCCCTAAACCCCTAACCCCTAAACCCCTAAACCCCTAAACCCTAAACCCCTAAACCCCTAAACCCCTAAACCCTAAACCCTTAAACAGCGGACCATGGGTTGCGGGCACCCAGAACCCAAAACCTACAACCCAAAGTCAATTCACAACTCCACCAGGACCCCCCCCTAATGGCCGTTTAATGGAGCCCTTCTGATCCTTACTAGTGGGTATCTAGGCTATATTTGAAGGATAATAGTATATGTGATTGTTATAAGGGCCCTATTTTTGCCCAGGGCCCAGGAAAGACGTGATCGTTGCAGATGTTCTAAGTCACGAGCCTTTCATTTTGCAGGCCCTGCCTTTCGTGTGATTACTGTGCGACGCTGTTCGAGCACGAAAGCTAACACGGTGTTTATATGAGATCCGAATCCAAGTCCGGAAGTGCCTAGACCCCGAGGGTTCCTTAAAATAAACGTGGTATAAGATACCCCCAAGCCCAACTCTAATTGTTAATGGCCCTGTTTTATTCCAGCTGGACGCTGGCACGGGCCTTCCAGTGCTCGATATTCTTGCGCGAGGATCGAACATACTCCGGACCTCACAAAGCACTAAAAGGGGGGTGGGTTACGTATTCAGGGTCACTCACCAGTGTCTACGAAGCCGGGATCGTGTTATCTGGGGCTCGGGATAAACCTTTATTGAAACTCCCCATAATGAAACTACCTGCACTAGCTGGAAGTTGTTCTTGCACATGTACCTACGGAAGGCGCTGTTGACCGGACATACCAGTACCCAAGAGCCTTCAAATAGGGCTTCCAAAACCCGAAATCCCCAAAAACCTCTGAACCCTAGGGCCCTTAACCCAGGAAGAAGAAGCTTCGGCGTCTGTTCCGAGGCACGCTTCGTCAGCATGTCGTCCATCTCCCAGAGCATACCTCAACCATTTCTGTGTTGAACCCCTCTCTTGCTCTGCAGTTCGTTTTCGTGGTTCACGTTCGGAATCCTATAAGGTCATCCCCAAAAAGGAACTACCATGGAGCCTATGGTTACTTAGGCCCCTATAGTAGGGTATCCTTATAGATCCCTTATGGTAAAGCTTTGTAGGCGCCTTTAACCGTAACCGTACACGGTCCTTTCCATCACGCAGTTCCATACCCTGAGGGTCCATGCACCGACACAGTATATACGGTGACCTTAATGTAGTCCCTATGCAAGTATTTTGAGGCCCCTGTATTAGGAACCCCAACAATGCTATTATTGGTAATTATTTGGGCCACTATATTAACCCTGGACATCGCAGATCCAAAACAAACATAAGCCTGAGCTGCAGTCGAACGCGTCGTTGTCACAGTTCCTCCAGTACCACTTCCTTGGCTACAAGAGAAACCGACATGGCACATGTAGTGTAGCAGTGAAGACGATGACCCCCTGCAGCAACATCAAAAGCCACGCCTGAGAGGCCTTCCACCGAAGTCTTGCAGGCTTTGGGCATGCCAAGCGTCAGCATCAGCAGCGGCCTTTCGTCCACAGCAAAGCTGAGCAAGTCGATTTGAACTAGTCGTGCGTCTGAGGCTCTAAGGAAGCTCCATTTCAACTGCAAGACAGGCTTTAGACGACTCCCGGGCATGCAGCGTGCGCTGCATACACATGCCCATATACTGCCCCAAGATTCCACAGAAACCTGACCACCCCCATACGGTCTCAGGAATGCTGGTCATACCCCTGAAATGGGGGGCTGCAAATTCTGGGCCGGGGACTTGTTGTCGTGATTCGAGAGAAACTCGGGCAGCTTTTGCAAATTGATCGTCATGTCGTGATCCTGAGTGCATGACTATAGACTCAGCCAACCAACGGAGCAGCACAGAGCGTCTGCAGAACGGTTTGGGTCGAGGCATGTGCTGGGGATGAAGGGTGTCTTGCTGACGATTTCCACTTTGTTACGTCATCTAAGTTGCAGCAATAACTATTACAAAGCACTTGGGGCTCCCCCTGCCATAACTCAGGCCCGTCTTGAAATCTCTGCTTGAAAGATCGGGCCGCAGAGGGGTTACGCTGGGGCCGGACCCACGCTATATGCATTGAACTCTGAATTTATCAGGCCTAACGGCCCTCGAATGTTTTGCCGGTGTCTCCTCTCCTTACCGACAACTCCTGCAACCTGAAGCCTAGGCTTCGTAACAAGAACATTCAAAAACATGAGGAGGGATCTGTTCACCGCATCAAACTTCACTGCCGCAAGGGCGTGCAACCGTGCAGATTCAAATCGTAGTGACGCTGCTCCCTCGAAAGCCCGACTTGTCAAAATGCTCCTGCCAACTCACTGAAGCTTCGAACTCCTAGATCCTGGCTACAGCGCGTGTGCACCCTTAGTCTAATCATGCTCTAATGATCTTGGGCCCTAAAACCTAAATCCTGAATGGGATGCGGACGTAAAGGGGCTTGTTCCACTTGGAACTGACTTAGACATAGCTGCAATCTTCTGTGCTCAAGCAGCATAGCCAATCAGCCAGTCCCACTTGCCCGACAGAAGCCACGAGGGAGGCGCAAACTTCAAGGACTTGGAGGTAAGTCTCTCCTGGGCCAACCAACATGATCCCTGTTCCATGCAGATTACCTGCATCATATTGCATGCGGTCTAAGGATCGTGTTTCGGGTGTTGGGATTCCAATAATGTAGGGGCCTTCATCATTAGAACAGGGTTTTGGGGCCATTATACTGTAAGTATAAGAAGGTACCCCAAAAATAGTTTTGGTAACTATTGAGGCCCCTATATTGGGGTGCGGAGATTCCTAGATCTCAGAACAACCACTTCCTGGAGCACCTCTGCCTCGCTAGGCGACCATCTTGTCAGCCCGAATCAGGGCGTGTGTCCCTGCATCATGTCATTTTGAACTAAATCCGGAGCCCTCTCCGAATATCTAGATAAGTAAAGCTTATGTAATTCAGGGCCGGGAATTTAAAAACATATAAATTTACCGACTGCAAACCCCTGCCAGGGAAAGAAACTCATGAGCGACGATATGTAGATTTAGCGAAAGAACAGAGAAAATTAAAAGACTAATACAGATGGATTGATGGAACACAAAGCCCCGGCACAGGTGGCCGCCAACAAACCCCTGAAGTGCCCCTGATCTGAAGAAACCCCTCAACCCTCCATGTTTGATAGTAGGGTATTCTACCCTCAACCCCTGCCAAACTGGAGGTTCGGGAGTCCGTAGAGTAGGCCCTAATTTAATAGTGCGGGGGCTCCTGATCAGCACCCGCAAAGGGTACGGTTTAGGGTTGAGGGGATTACTCTTGCAGGTTAAGAAGCCCAACTGAACCCACCAATATCAATCTAAACGTGCTGGGCGAGTCACAGCTGACACCTCAGATGCTCAGCATCGGCAAGACTCTGAGGGTCCAAGACTCAACAAAAATGAGAACAAACAGAAACACCGTGAATTGCAGTCTTTCCGTCGTGTGTTCTGAGTTGAGTGTAGGCGACAGTAACAACCGATAACGACAGCAATCCTCTGAAGTCATCCAGAAGCTCGTCCGGTGCAACATGGTTGGGTCCCAGAAAACCCGGAATCAGACCCCCTACCAATTTCCAAACCCCTTGTGCAACAGGCTTCACACTTCGCCTAGGGCCGGCTCCCAGATCAGTTGTAGCAGCATGACAGCTCTGAGAGCAGGCTGCAAGACGGGATCCGAGCCTAATGCCCTAAACCCCTGACAAACCCTAAACCCTAAACCCTGGTTAAGGGTTTAGGGTTAGGGTTTTTTCCCTCCTACTTAGCAAGGACAAAGCCCGCAAGGGTTAGGGTTTAGGGATTAAGGTTTAGGGTTTACAAGCTGAAACCCAAAAGACAGACCCGCGAAACCAGCAGAACATCGAGTCTCGTCAGCTAGTCCTGTTTGGCTAAGTCTGCTCTTATGCCGGAAGTTACATTCCGCACACTCGGCACGAATATCATGAAGCTCCGAGAACTGCAGGCACAAGTTAATTCCATTCAAGCAGCATAGCGTGTTGACTTTTCCAGCGGGACGATCTTGATCTGCCAGCCTATCAAGCCAGCGAATCCTTAAACCCTTAGCCTTGTTGATTCTAGAAGGTCCTACCAAGACTTCACAGATGTCCGGAGAGCTAAGGTGTGAGGTTCCAATACTGTTCCAATCCTTGCCGTGCGGCTTTAGCCTATGCAGTTTCTACAGTTGCATCGCACATGGAAAGCGGAGTTTTGAAGGCCCGAGGACTTCCTAGACTCCTAGACTAAGTGGGATCGCATCACACTTTTGAGACGGATGCATTCCAACGGATCTCTTTACTCCAGCATGCCAGGGTGTGCAGCCCAATTCTGGCGCTCGAAGGGGTCTGGGCACCGAGTTCTCTGGCCCTTGCAGTGTAGGGTTTAGGGTTTGGGGCTTAGGGTTTAGGGTTTAACTGTTCAGCATGATAGTCTTATGCACAACCTGGAGCGAGCAAACTCGGCTACCCGACAGGGTCCATGTACCTACCTATATGCACTATAACTTACGCCGAAACGCACCTATATCAGGCCTAAGCATGGGGTGTACAGGTGCCCGGCCCCCCCCGCCTGTGTTTTTGTGATCGAAACTCGAAATTTCACAGCAGGGCAGTCTTGCTGTCTTAGTTTCCTCCAAAATTGGTGTCTTCCTGCATTTGTCTTGGTTGGTCCTGCTCTGAGTCTCTTCAAGCCGTCGTGGGCCTATTTATGATTTCGCTTCGGGGTTTTGTGGGTATGGAGGCTGGGCCGGTGATTACCGATAGGGCCGGAAGGGGTTCGGATCGGCATACTACGCTGGATCTTGAAGTCCAAAGTCACCAACAACTTCAACTTCTTGCAAACCTGCAAATTAAATCCTAACCACGCGAGTGTCCCATCTTCCACGCCTTGTCGCTGCCAGTGCGTCAGCGCCGCCTGTGCATTGTAATCATATGCTAAGGGCACAAGGTCTGCGACATCGAGGCAGCTTACGGGGTTTCAGAGGCGATCGTGGGGCTGAAACGAGTCTAAAATGCTACCTGGACCCCAAAAGTATGTAGAATAACAGCCCCCTTTATGGGTTTTGGGCCATCATTTTACCTACCTTTGGGGGTTTAGGTAATAAGTTTTCTGTTCACGAACACACCTCTACACAAGAAGCCCTTAACCCTAAAGCCTAGCTTCGTGTTGACCTGAAAACACACAGCGATAGCCTGTCTGACCGGACACGCACTTCCTGTGCAGCATGCTTGGGATTCGTTGGTGATAGATTTCCCCGGTGAACTTCTGAAACTGCAGTCATCTACATGCGGGTGCAGCCTCAACACGGCAAATTTGAACCTTGACAACCAAATAGGAAAGCCAAAAACCCAAACACCTGGACCGGAAGTCCTTCAACAAATCGAGCTAGCCCTCATGTCAGGACTTCAGGACATGCCATGACATATCGGTAGGTTTGTGGATCGAGGCTGCCAGTAACTCAACAACTCTACTACCTCAAACAGGCCCTCAAATTTGACACCAAGCCCTGAAAGCCTAAACCCAACCCAGCGACGTGACCAGCACGAAGTGTGTCAGAGCGGCGCGCCTTCGGGGCCTTCTTCTTAGTGGTCGCATCCAGAAACAAGAATGCATCCACCTTAGCTGGTGTACGCCCAGAGACTCCACTCTTCCTGAATTCGGGAATATACCTTAAATCCATATAAAGGATCCTACTATAATTTAAGGTATATTCCTCAATTAAAGGGATATTGGAGTCTCTGGGCGGAAGCCTCTGGGCTTCACCACGAAGGTCACAATAGACTGAAACGTGGGCACTGTAAAGCCGCATGTCCCAATCTGCAGAACCTGACAAAGAAGCCAAGTTGCATGAAGAGGGTGGGAAGTTGTCATTCGAGCAAAGCCACAAAGGCTAAGTAGGATTGTCATGTTTTCGAGGCCTAAACTGCCACTTTGTCTCGGGGACACCAAAACCTCAAACTTTGAAGCTTAGAGTCCAAAGCTTCGACCCATGACTCGAAAAGTCGGAAAGTCCTAACGGGGACAAGAGGAGTGTTCTACTCATGGGTATCTATCCGAAATCCCGCAGTGACAACCTCTCCATATATAGATATATGCACATTCTTGACGTTTGTACATCTTTTTGATACATACATGTACTGACACACACACACACACAGCTCTACAACAAATCTTGAGAAATATGCACCCGAAGCCGTATATGCACACGTAAAAGCACTAAACAAAGGCAGAAGCTAACATCCGCAAACTTGTAAAAGAAAGCCCACAAGCTAAAGAGGAAGAGCAGTCGCTCAGTGCAGTGGGGCCGCATTCGACGGTACCTGGGCAGCTTCACATATTGTACTGAATTTTCAGCCCGTCTTACACAATGTTATATACATATGTAAAGAAAAACATATGTATGTAGGTATATGTGTATGCCTGCCTGCATGCATGCATGCATTGATGCATGTATGTATGCGTGTACGCGGATTCGATTTCTCAGAGGTCTACATTGCACCATACCTATTTGTTTAAACCTGTGGAAGTCGTGAAACTGCCGGAACACCCAGACCTTCCAAACGTCCTTAATTAAGGAATATCCATTAAATCATATTCGGGATCCTCGTATAATTTAAGAAGGTATATTCCTTAATTACTGGATTTTGGAAGGTAAAGATCAAAGCGCCAGCAGAACTTGAACCTAGTTCGTACACGCCCCACCCTGCAATCAAGGATCAGGCACTGACGACACAAGATCTTCCATGCGAAACAGCCGAGTAGTAAATAGCTGTGAACTGCTCCAAGAGCCTCTGCAGCCCTGCCCCATCCCAAAGTCTCTGGTCAAAGTCCACGTATATGAACGCTCTGTACCCTGAACCTTTGGGCTGTCAATCTTGCGACAAGTCCCAGACCCAAAAATCGTGGAAGTTAAGCCTGGAGATGCCCCAATCCACACCAAAACGAGTCAAGAAACGCTAATTCGAACAATCCCTAAACCCGAAGGCCCACACCCCAAACTCCCTCAGCCCCCAAATCCTCAGCCCGACGACCTAAGCCCCAAGACCTGAACTTCCTTAGCTTAGAGGCTGAGTGCCCTAGCCCCAAAAAAGGTTAACCTTTTGAATTATGGTAGGATTACAAAAAGCCCCCAAAGGTTAAAGGTTACCCCTAAACCCTTATAGTATAATACCCTTCTAGCACCCTTATAGATCCCTTGAAAAAGGAACCCCAAAGGGTTAAAGGTCACCTACTCAGCCCGTCAGTTAACCTTTAAACCCAAAACCCAAAACCCAAACTTCCTTGGCCAAACGGTCCAAAGTACCGACATAATTCGTAGAATGTAAGGTTTCTACAATAGGAATTACTATTATGATTTAGGGAAGTATCCCCCATAACAGTACCTAGGAGTTAGCCTTTCAGCCAAGGAGCACAAGGTACTTGGCGACTACGCGGCTCCTCGTAGCCCCCAAGGTTGTACGTGTAGACGGCAGCGCCTTTTTGATTAGTTTTGGGGCTTTCATAATTAATTGGAATAGGGGTTCCTTTAAAGGGGTCTATAAGGGCTATCTATAAGGGTCCTTTGGTGTAGGGGCCTTCATAGTTAGAATAGGGGTTCCTTTAAAGGGGGTCTAAGGATGACTATATGGTCTACTGACTATAAGGGTTTGCGGTAAGGGGGCCTTCATAATTAGAACAGGGTTTTGGGGGTATATTATACTATAAAGATAAAAAGGAACCCCCAAAATAGTATTGGTAATTATTTAGGCCCCTTTAGTAGATGTGGTTTCGGGTTTAGGGCTTTTTCGTCTCTCACAGGGCTTTTAAAGGGGCTCCGTCAAAGGCTCACTTATGGACTAGTTACTTGTACCCTCAGGGCGTCGGATTCAAGGTTTTCAGATTTAGGAGTTCAGGTATAGATAGGTTCGTAGAGGTCAGGAAAGATTCAGGATATGCACACCGCGAACAAACCAACATCACTTTGCTTCCGCGACCTGCTTTGGCCCGAGGGGTTGTGTCAAAAGGCTTGGGAATTGCAGCTTGGGTTTGCAAGAGGCTTGTGCTTCAGATTTTGTAGTGTAGGATGTTGGGATCAGACTCGAAGAGTAAGGTCGCAGAGCCCAAAATCCGAAACCGGGGCTGGGACATGTGGGTTTCCGCCGGAGTCATTCGGACTTCTAGACTCTAGTTGCTGATTCCTGAAGACTCCAAGTATACAAGTAGTATCTGCTTGAAAAATCTAAAAAGTGCCTACTGCGGGCTATCATATTAGGAGTCTTAGGGATTCGGGCCGGATAACCCTAAACCCTAAACCCTAAACCCTAAGCCCTAAACCCTAAACCCTAACCAAAGCTCTCCATTGTCTACACGCGCCGGAACTCCTAGCCCTGACGACCGAGGCTCGTGAGGACGTAGGCCCTTTAGGAAATCATAAGCCCAGACCTTCCAAAAATCCCTTAAATAGCCAAAATTATACTAGCACCCTAGTATGATGTAAGGAATATTCCTTCCTTAAGGGATTTATGATTTTGGAAGGTCTGGGAACCGCACAGTTCTTTGCAAGAGCTTTCAACAAATGTCTGGGGCCAGTGCGAACTGGCGAAGTGTCCTCTGGCTCTTGCGATCCTTCACTGCAGCGAGGATTTCTCCTGACGGCTCTAGCTTTCGGTAAAGGGGTGTTTGTGTAGGTGCTCGTGCTTAGACAGAGCGGTGGCTGTGCAAATTCACCGAAAGGAACAAGTGCGCACCCGCACATGTAAACACAGCGATGCATCAAAATATCTGTCCAACGTACCTGCATGTCTTTAATGCTCGAATACTCACACTACCACTACCTACCTATGTACCTATCGATCTAGCTACTTATCTTCTGAATCGTATGGACATACCTAGGGAACCCATAACCGAAGATAATTTCGGCGTGGCTGCTGAACACGGGGTTTGATGTCAAGAACTCGGGTTTAGAGAATTCAAGGATTTGTGGTTTGAGATAAGATAATTTGATATGATGTGTCTTGTGTTCAAAGTAGCTGGGTCCGAAGAAAAGATGTTAGCACAGATGCGAAAGTGTTCAATCTCGAACAAATCTTCTTGTCGATGAGTGCATGAGTGCTCGCTCTATACAATCAAATGATGCTTATGATTGCTCGCTGACTGTCGCTCCACACACAGAGTTCAAATTTTTTCCTGGTCAGGGCAGCTTCGACTCTATGAGCAATCCTGCTTTCACCCACTCCCGATAAGCGGATTGTAAGTAGCGTTGGAGAGTTCTCTGCACCACACATCGGGTACCGACACGCCTTGAAAGGCGGGACGGGCGCCCCACAAGGTCCTCGCTCATCTGTGTCGACCATAGCAATGGGTTGATTCCTGGGTGTCCAGCACGTCCAGCCCTGAGTAGATCCAAAGCGAAGTGGTGCAAGGGGTGTATTTTGGGAGGTACCGAAAACAATGTGCACTCCATCTCATACGTCTCTCGAACCAAATGCTCGTAACGGCGTAAAAAGCGGCTGATTAGCTCACCAGTAAGCTTCGCCGTGTCGGCTGATAGAAATGCATCTTCGGCATAGAGGATGCGGAAACAGCGGTTGATGCTCTTCGTCGCTTCAAAAGCGGAAACCAACAAAGGATCTGTAGTGGTGCCCTCTAACGATTCCACCCATTCCATAAGATTGGTGGTCAAAGCCCCCTTGTACCATCCACCTTTGGGGTAGTCCGTCGTGGTTTCCCACGTGATAAGGTCCTTGGTAAGTTTCGTGACGATCGTCGAACGGTGGTTGCTTGCACACCAGGTGCGGTATTTTTCGGTAAGACATTGAAAGCGCTGGTCGATGTTCCCAATTTCTAAATCAGAAAGAAGTGCAATCACGCTCCCCAGGAATGTACGCCCAACACCAAGATGAAATGTATGGAAAATATCGTAGGCGAAGTGCTGAGCCAGCTGCTCATGGGTGTCAAGAATGCGACCAGCTTCAGGCCACGATCCGAACGGCGAGGAAGCAGACACTGTGTGCATCCACGAAGGTCGCCTTGTCCCAATTTGCTCAAGTGGGGCGTGCGGGAACCCCGCTTCGCATAAATGACATACACCAGTCGATGCCTGATTAACAGATTTCACAGCATTGGCGAAGGTCCTTTGCAAGCACCCGGCTTTGGCCAAAAATGGCCAATCACCAGTTGTTCGTAGCATCACCATCCAGCGTCGTTCTCCAGCGCCGTATTGCACACCTTCAGTGCTCAGTAGCTTTGCATCATCATAGGCAGCAGCCAAAAGGTCGAAAAAGGATTGGTCACTGTCGCTATAAAGGCTTTTTGGCAACACTCCCGTGACGAATCTGGTTGTGTAGGAGTGGCCCTTCAGGTTCAACCCCATCTTCAAGTACGGTTTGCGAACCTTCTTCAGGGATTTATTTCTCAAAGCCAAAGTGGAGCCTCGTCCCAAACAAGAATGCCAGCTCAGCACAAAAAATGCTTGGCGGCGGCGACCGCGCCCCTCATCCCCATGGAGCACGATTGCTGCTGTGTTTTCCAATGCTAACTTCTTTTCCTCTGCAGCTTTAAATACCCAGTGTTGGGGATCGTGAAGCTTGTAGTTTTCCCAGAAAGCTTTCCAAATCTTTTGCTCCCGCTTTGGATCCGGATTGCGTAATCCGGCCAATGTATGCCAGCTGTTTGTCTGCAGCAAATACCGAGCCCAGTCCCGGATGCTAAGCCTTAGAAGGCCCTTGTGCTTCGTGTCCCTTGCACCAGATTTGCAATCACTGGAAGTCTCAGTCATCGGAATTGGCAATGACAGCATCAGCTTCTTCACAAGCAATGAATGAGAATCTCTTTCACTGTGGTTTTGCGACAGCCCTGCTAGCGGTAGCAAGCCGCCTATTTCACGAGCCTGGGTCACACCGATGTCTTTCACCACGTTGCGGGCAGTGCGGATGGCAGATCGGCAAGAGGCCTCGGCACACATAGCGGAACGTCTTTCAATGATTACAAGCAATTAGTCAGCACATGTCCGAATCCATCAGATCGCACAGCGAAAAGATTTTTAACACTCATTCCCCAGAGCAGAGCAAATCATTTCTGTACAAGAAAAGCTTGGAAAGCATCGCATATCAGCGAGTCGAAGCAGGTGGATGCTTGAATGACCTGTACACTATGTAGGTCATATACCGGGAGTCGTCATCGCAGGAGGAAGCTTCCACTGTGTCCCCACCAGATTTGATGTTCCGACAACCTTCTCTGCCTCAGCTGTGTAAAGGTGTGTGTATATACAGTTTGGTTTACGAACAGAACATAAACCGAGTAATACGTTCATAGCGTGGTGTTGCATATGTTGCCAAGAGACCGGAGAACTTGTCAATGAGGGATGCTTCCATCATTGCAGGTCCACATGGTTCGGTGGACAGGAACAAGATTTCCATGTTGGTCCATTTGTCCCGGTCTTTGCTGTATCCGTATATCGGATTTTTCCAGCGAAAAGCCGGGTTGTGTGTGAAGCCGAACTTGAATATGAGCGGTTCGTGTTTGCTAAACAGCTTGTGCACCTCGCATATCGAGTGCTTCAAGGCCTTACCAGCAGTCGCATCTCGGGGGGGCAAATTGAATGATATACACGGAATCGCACGACATTCTTTGTAAATCTCGGCTAGCTTGGGCGAATCCTCGAGATACTTAGCCAAATCTCGCGCTTTTCGCATGTCGCTATAGCACCCAATGCTCTTGATGCGGGGCTCAGCTGTTGTAACAGGAACCTTGGCAACAATCTTGTCGGTCTTCAAAGTTGGCTTTGCACGGTTCGGTGTACTTTCGAAAGGACCAGGACCAATCTTGTCGAAGGATTTGGCCCAGGGATATGGAGCAACGGTTTCCTAAGCTCTCGCACCATGAGTTCGCAAGGGTATGTATATAGATTATGAGAACGACAACAAAACATTGTGCCAGGAGCAGGGTTAGCATCGTCACGGTGACAAGTAAGAAGGTCCCACAGCTCATCATCGGGGCTTTCTATGTTAGCTGCTGTAGCATCCATTGCCCAGAGCAGACTAAACACTGCATTTCTAATCATCCACGAGACAAGCCAAAAAAGCTTCCCACACAAATTTTCGAAGCAAGCTGTTTATCAATGCAGAACAGATTGGATGGGCATTCTGAGCTTTGGGCTCCTTCGCCAATGTCGGCGCTCAAACCACGGACCAGGTGTCCAGCCGCCGTACCTGGCAGCTCAGCGAATTGGTTTGCATAGGCTTAAGCTTCTGGGTTCTGGGCTTATACAGCAAAGGTAGCGATCACACAAGAATAATCTTTTGTGCACGGGCCCCCGAACTGGTCTTGTGTACGTATGCATACCTGCACATGTGCGACGGATTCGCAATGGCAGCCTAATTGCACATCAGCACAGGTTCGCCCGTGCCCACCCCAAATCCTTTCAAGCTCACTTCGTGGCTTTGCTTTTGGGGGCTCTCGAGCCCCTCTTTGCAGGAGGCTTTGCAACGGCCTTTGCAGGGGCCTTTTCAGAAGCCTTAGGCTTCTCCTGCTTCGGCGTGGCGCCCTTGTCGTAGCTCTTGCGTGCTGTCCTGTCGAGTGCCGGAGATTATAGATAAGTTAGTAAATAGAACGATCAGAAAGTTATTGGTTGCCACCCATGCAGTCCTGATTTTCATCTCGGTCGCAGCAGCTTTGCTACACCTGCTAATGTGTTGGGCTCCAGAAGGATGGCTGTCTCTAGCAAGCAACCGAGTTAAGCCGAGGGACACCAGCGTGGCTTCCTTGATGCGCTGCTCTGCCTGCTTGTAGAACCTCAGCTGCACATGTTGATTATAGTTTGCTGTGTATATACAGGTCGCAAAGTATATGGCACATAGAAGCGGTCGGGCACAATCGTAGCTGCTTCGCACCACACAGAACTCTAAAACTCGCTGCAACCGGAAAACTCGTCATTCATACCCATCATCTCAATCTTGGTTTTGAGCTCGGTGATGCCATCGTACTGAGCCTCCACCGCCTTGACATCCTTCTCCAGAGAGGAGATAGCCCTTAGTTGGCACGAAATACAAAGCTTTGGAAGGTTTGACTTGTGCATACATGGGTGTCTTGAACATACGAGGCGGCAGTGAAAGGGTCAGGGAGCTTGGCAACATCATCGGTGTTCGCGTAGTTCTTTTGCACATCTTTCATGAGGGAGCGAAGTTTCCCCAGTTTTGTCACCACAGAGCTGCTGAACTTCTCGAGGCTCTCTTTGGTCTGCAAACACGGAACTCAACAATATATGAAGGCAATTCTATACATGAATGCAAAGGCATTGGCTAGCATAGGCCTGGGCGTGCTTGTGGGCGGAAGGGTCCTGTATGGCCGGGGGCACAGGGTCCTTCGCTCGCATCTCCATACCCTGAAGCATGTCGAAGTTCTCCAAATCATTGGCGATCTGCTGCAAGTCTTCAGGCACTTCGTTCGCCTGGATGGATGCAGAGCTGATACATTATCACAGCGGCTTGGCATGCACGATACGTAGTCAAACCGTTGGTGTCTTAAAGCATTATTGCGGCCTCACGATGCTTCTTGGCAGTCTCCTCATAGGAGACTGCCTGCCGCCTCTTGCCAGTCTCCCTCACTTTCACCCAATACTCCCACTCGTTGTCATATTGGTTCTGCCTGCATCAAGCACGATCGAAGCGGGGGTTTGAAATCCCTGGTGGATAAATAAGTAATAATTGCTTGGGTGAGCTCGGATTTTGAGAGTTGATCGCTATACAGGGCTTTCTGTGTCCTACCGAGAAGAGTTGTTTGAGTTTGGGCTAATATAGGATTCCTGTACGGCTGGGCTGTGCTTTGCCGTAATCGGCTGGCTTGCATGGGGTTGATTACACTTAAACCTCACCATAGGCTTGTTGTCTTTTGGGTTTACATATGGTTGGGTTTCGGGGTTGGGAATTGGGAGCTTCGATTAGGTTTGGTTGAAAGTGCAGGGCCAATAGATAATTTGAGGTTCTCCGGACTTACCTTTTTTGCAATATAAGGCCAGGAAGATATCCTACATGGGGGCTATATACACAGCCATCTTTATCTATCTAGTGGTTCGCACTCGAGCAATTCCCTAGATAAATCTAAATGGGTCAAAAACGAGAGGCTAACAAAACCCTCGATATGCGTGCCTGTAGTAGGCGGGCCCACGCTTCATGCAAAGCGCTATCGCACCGTCCGCACGAGTCCTTATGTTCAGTCTTTGCAGTGCACAGTGTGTACACACTCAACTGACATGAGGGTGGCTTTCTTAAGTTGAATATATGCAGATAAGAGTCTCGGACCAGCCGAGATCAGTAATCATCTCGGATCGGGAGTAAAAGCCCTCCTCGACCAAAATCTCCTTCTCGTTCTTCTTGGTGATGTTGATCTTGATGCGTACGAGGAACTCGGCCTGGGCAGAGAGACAGGCATGGGATTCTATTCAATGTAGAGTGTTGCTGGGGCTTTAGACTAATCCCTGATACAAAGATTATTCTGGTTTGCGTTACATACAGAGCTTCCCCTTTCCTATGTCGGGTAGTTTCGGTTAGTTTCGACGTTGGGTCCTAAATTTGACGGGGTTTTTTGGGGTCCTTAACATAGGATTCGGGATGGAGCCGACTTGTCTGGGCTTCTACAAATATACAACCCAGTGTTAGATGACTTAAGGGGGTCTCCTAGGGTGTCGCGTTAGGTCCGTTAGGTGTGGGGCCTTTGGGGGATTTGCCACTGGGTGCGAATTATCTGATCTGGGATTGTTTTAGGTTTGGCCGGGTGCTACGGCAGCCTTGCTTTATACAGGGCTAATGCGAGAAAGTGGCCTTATCAAAGTTCACATCTTGCAGCGTTCGTGCAATCGCGTTCTTGTCCCCCGTGCGCCACTCTTCTTTCAACCAGTCCGGCGTGTTGAGGTCTTGCCGTCTAGCATGGGTTTTGACCATCCGATCGATTCTGGCTTTTGCGGCCCGCAACAGCGCTTCCTTGCATCGCACAAGACACATACACAAGCGATCCACTGGACGGCTTGACATAGATGTGCTTGGCCTATATATGATTATTCTAAGGAGCACGTCGCGTCGGCACCTTCTTCTGCGGAGCCTTGGCGGATGCATTCTCGTCGGTGTCGTCGGGGTTTGTGCGATCTCGTGGCGGCGGTGTCACGAGGTCGTCGTCGTCGGATTCATAGACATCATAGGGGTCGTCCTCTACTGGCTTCAGCAGAACACCGGACAACAACTCCAGAATCTCCGCTGGGGAAGCCTGAGATCAACGTGTCATGCAACATGTGCATGATCAGCCAGCACAACCCTGCACGATCAGCCACACTTTGACAAGCATCATTGTCCAGCAGATCATTCTCGTCCTCCTTGTCACCACGGTCCTGAACCCGTAGTATATATAGAACTTAATTGAAGGTTTTTGGGATCGATGAAGCCATGCTGATGGTGTAAATCTGTATACGATGCTGCGGTCCTCTACAACCAGCGACAATGGTTCAGCATCTTCGAAGGTAGGGGCTTCGGAGGGAGCCGGAGCGTAAATCCCAAGCCCTGCCTCCTGTAGCTCCTGTGTCGAAGCCTCAACTACACAGCCCCGAGAGCACATAGCAGCCCAACAATCTGGATTGGACAGCAGCTACAACTCAGGAATTGGCGGGAAGTGTGGCGGCCTCTGAGTTCTCTGGTGAGGTGAGATCGGCAGCCATCGCGGGTTGCTGGGCCTGCTTGGCACTGGGGGTTTGTTGCACAGGTTGGGACGGTTCATCTTCTTAAGCTAAATATACAGGGGCTCCGACGGCAGTCTCGTCAAGAGCAGCTTCGAGCTCCTCCAAGCACAAAACGAGTGGCCTGAAGCCTGAATTGCATTGACAGCATCCCCCGAATCATGCAACGTGAAATCCCACAATCTGGTCCTGCAGTTCTGCTAGAATTTCTTCTTCGGTTGCAGGAGCCGACCGGGCACCGACATCAGCAATCCCCATATTCAGAGACTCACAGCTCCATAGCTTCGAAACACCGGAGGTAGCCATGATATCTAGCAGGCACAACCCTACTTGGAAAAAGCAGATGCTTCACGAGACGGAGAAGCATGTATATACATTGGCAAGAGCAAAGCAACCGAAACAAAAGAAGGTGAACTCACTGGTCACTAGTCCGGAAGGAACTTCTCCTTTCCCCTCAGAGCGGCTCCCAAAGTCACGAGGTGGTCGCTCCAAGCACGATTCGGCGCTCGGATGATCCATGAGTCTGGCAGCACGTCGGCTGCTTCAGGGCTCTGCCGAAACTCGGTTGGAGCGCTTATTTTTTGTTCCGGGACCTGAAATTTATGTTATGCAATGCATAGTCTAAACCCGGGGTTTACCCATGACGCCGTCACGCTTAAATCACGGGTCTGCCACGGGTAAATCACGGGTCTGTCACGGGTTGGGGCAAACCCGGGGTCGACCCTAAACATACCTAAACCCAGGGTTTAGGGGTCACTTAAGATACCTAGACCCGGGGTTTAGGGCTTCAGACCCGGGGTTTATCACTTCAAATCACGGGTTAAATCACGCTTTCAGGCCCCCAAATGTCTCCAAATCCCAATCGGCCCGCAAAATTCCTGAAAAAAACGCTAAAACCTTCATAATTCCTTTAAAAAAGAAACCGATCCCGCAGAACCCCGCAAACACAACTATACCCTCTGCTGTAATATACTCAGCAAACTTTACAAAGCCACCGGGATTGTATTGCATACTGGCCAACAACTGACATCCAGTCCTGACAGCAGCAGAGCCCAAACCAGGTCCCAAAAGCTTAGCATCATAACCCGACACAAGGCACCGGCTTTCAGAAAGGCTTCATAATCATTTATTATGCAAAACGAGGAGCTACTCCTACCTTACATGACACCAACTTTCTAATAAAGGTCTCCGAACATATAGTCAATTGAGAGCCGGTCCCGAGTGCCTTGAAAAGCCTTTCTAGAAGCCCAGGAACCCTGGTGGCAGAATGCATCGCCATTCCTCCGGGATGGCTAAACTTTTGCTACCCCTCAAGTAGTTGTAGACTTCATACAAAGCAGCATTCTCATACTCCGCTCTGTGGTAGTCCGACGGTAACGAAGACAATGTATCTAAAGCCGAAGGAATTTCCGAAGTCTGGGGACACCCTGCCCGATGCTTCTTCAGGTTCTCGCAGATCTGCACCAAGTTCTTGGCGAATGCGACTGGGTACTGCCTCGGAAGCAGGTCTAAAGGTTCAATAGGGTTCGGGCGACTTCGAGGGTCCGGGATTTGGCTTTGGGATCTTTGGCCTTGGGGGTTTTGGGCTTAAAGGGAAGTTTCCTGCAAAGGATAGAACCCAATGATACACAGGCAGCCCCATAAAGGGCTTTGTATGTAAGTGTTAGAATTAAATTCCTCAGTTGTAATTTCGCCATGCAAAGTGTTTGGTGTGGGGTTTATTTAGGGATGCAAAGAAATTACTCATGTTCCACTCGAAAGCACCGATCTACAATAGGAATTCGAGCAACCCGCTGATTTGTGTACCCAGGACAACCCGCTGAACCTATTAGGGTACTTAGGGTTGATAGGTTTTCTCCATATAGGGAGAGACCAGAGAGAAAGAGAGAGACAGAGAGAGATAGAGAGAGAGAGAGAGCGAGCGAGCGAGCGAGAGAGAGAGAGAGAGAGAGCGAGACAAAACAAAAGTGAAAGATAAAATGACTATGTGGGAGAAGGCACTCGGTATCACGGAGATGCATCGTTCCACTAAACCTCCTGATGCCATTGGCATCGACGTGGTACTTCGCGGTTTTCTGGTTGTGCTTGAATAAACCAAAGGACAACTTCCCTTTATTCAAGAGGTTCACCTTCACGCTGTTCGCATACATATAGTGCCGTTTCGGCGTTTTGGCGCCGAAGTGCCCCATCCAAAACCGAACTTTGCTTACCTCGGATGCCAGTAGGTCTGCTAGCGAATCTTGCAGGGGATGTCTTATTCTGGGTTATAAATTACGTATATTAATCCTGTAAAAGACCCTATATATAACCACCCTGATAAGACCAATCTCCATTACATTCCGTATCAGCCCCAAGTAGGAACCCAAAGAAGTATATTCAAGCGACTGCATAAGGGCCTCCCCAATCTGAAAGAACCATCATCATGCTTCTCCAGGCTGGATAGAAGTCTAGTACCGATCCCCCCGGCTGCTCCAGTGACCACGTGCTATCCATTGCCGTCGCCAGCAGGATAAGTAAAATTGTCCTCCAGGCACTACTGTAACGAGAAAAGGAAGGGTGGCAACAATTTCTTGGGCCCTGACTGTGTAAGCCCAGAAACCCTAGTCAGCCCAGAAACCCGATCATCCTAATGTATATAGCACCAGAAGATCCCTCCTCTCAAGCAGCTGATTCGAGCAGGCCACTGACACGTGCTCCTCAAAGCCGGTGCTACTGCAGGCTGAACGACCACTGGAAGCAGCATTCATCGAACTGAATGACGAGCACTTCATGCCAAAGTGAACATAGGCATCACCACCAGCCAACTTGAGTATGTAGAAGATTGCCAGACTCAGTCGGAGTTGTTCGGGAAGCCGAGGTTACAATATGGTGCAGGCGCTCTATACACTTATGATTGACGAGGACAAGTGGTTCTGATAGATTTAAGCGAGGCTCGCAAAACCACTCCTCGAGTTGAGGTCCATGTAGTTGCTTTTGCACTGCTTGGAACTGTGGGGCCCATCCCTGATATCGAAACGAGCTGCCCTATAACGACCCGCTGCTCTCATCATCCTGTGCAAATTTCCATGGCCAGCAAAGAACTCGAGAAATGTGTAGTCCTGCCAAGCACCGAAGGACAAAAGTTGAAAACCATCTCCCTGCCATCCCAGCCTGCTCAAGCTTGGCTGTGTCCGTAGACCAGATGACGAGCAGCACAAGCAATATGAAGTCCTGAGGGCAGCGGGGCTATTCGGTTTGATACCGTTGATGGCACGTCGTTTGTGAGTCCTTCGGGGCTTTCAGCTGTTTCAATCTCCAGGAAAGCAGATCGATGTCGACCGCCATCACTCCGTCAAGGCCCAACAGGGGTGAGAACTCGAATGGTGATGCTCTTCAATTGACACTTTAGCGGCTGAAGCACATGTGGCGGACATCGGAGCTCATGTCTTGTGACGATGCATATCCTGCCATGAATGATTGTGTCGACGGCTGCTGCATGAACTGTCCCAAAACGGCAGCACTGGTAATCGGTTAAACCGTTTGCAATCGCAGACACTTCCCAGTAGATCAAAGGCATCACTAAAAAGCCGGCAACACCCTGCTGCTTCGTGTGCGCCACACGGTGCTTCCAGAGGCTGCCGCCAGGGAGGAGAGGCATCACAGATCGGGCCTGGGCGAGAATGGGGTTGATTTTTGTTTTGAGGTTTTGGGTTGTGTTTGTGGTTCCTGGAAGACAAGGGGTATTTTGGGAATTTAAGGTTTTAAAGTTGCTCAGGAAAATACACACTTTTCGAATCGATTAGCTTAAGGCCTACAACGAGCTCAACTGGAACGAGTGACTTAAGAAGTGTTGGTGCCACGGCTCGGGTCGGTGTTGGGTTGGTTTTTAATGCCGGCGTTGTTACAAGGGGTTTACATACTGCGGGTTAATGGAGTTTCGGTTTTCGGGTTCGGGGTTATGTAGAGTTGTCTATACAAACGAGTTAGTGTCAGGCTCGGGGGATATTGCATGCTTGCATTGGCAGGCTTTCAAGCTGGGCTCCTCATTTATGATGCAATGACGTAATAGAAACAAATGCTGTGAAGCTCGCAACCCATCCCAGGTTCTTTTCCCGGCGCTATCGGGCAGCCGGCGATTGTCTGCGATTCTGGAGCACGGAATCACGCTCAGGCCAGAAGCTTGGGTTTGCATACGAGTCCCAAGGAACTCAAAACGACTTGATCTGAGCCTGTCCCTAAGATGATGCTATTCCCCAACCGGAAGCAAATCTATATACATCTGAAATACATACAACCCATGCAGAAGACATACCTGTATATAGGGTTCTAGGTAAAAGCCAGGACAGGAAACGAGTTGAAGTATGTAGTGTAAGACTATATATGATCCCAGGAACATCTCAGGTCCATGCCTACACTAGGTGCCGCACTAAAGCCTTGCACATGTCAGATCGATCTACCACTCACAAGCAGCTTCGCTGTTGCACTCCCATCGATCACTACATACAGTGGCCTTGCAGCCCTATCCCAGTGAAGCCTGGAAAGCCTACTCAGACTCCGAGAGCTTTTTCACGGAGTCTTGAACAACGGACTTGAAAATGTTTCTCATGATAACCAGGTCCTTGGAGGTATCCGGGTTCGCCGAATCGACATAGCCATCATAGATCAAAGAATCCGCATACTTGCCGAACATGCTAGCAGCCTTCGCTACTACAGCCATCTTCTGCCCCCATGAGCAATTGCAGCCTCGGGTAGCCGGGATGGAAAAGTAGCCCAGCTCCTTTCCAGACTCCTTGTGGAGGAGCCCGGCTGCAGGTCTGTTCCAGTACATGTTGTAGCCGCTGTACCAAATCTCGTCCAAATCGGCCTTGAGGCTGTGCTTGAATTTGCTATCATTGGAACCGGAACCCCACTTCTTGGCGAACTCCACAACCGTGTCCTTCAGCCCCGATGGATCCTTCACTCCGAAGTACCAGTCCAGAGCCTCAAACATGCAAAGCGCCGCGGGCTTCAGGAGGAACTCCTTCTGGGGCGAAAGCTTCTTCGCGCCTCTCGCTTTCGGGATCTCAGACTCGTTCTCCTCGGGCTTTCCCTTGGCCTTTGCTTTCGGGGCACCCTTGGGCTTGGCTTTGCCTTTTGGCACCGCAGCTGCCTTGCACTTGGCTTTGGCTTTCGCCTTCGCTTTGGGGGTCGCTGCCTGTTTTGCGCTGGCCTTGGCTTTGGCCTTGGCTTTGGCCTTGGCCTTTGCTTTCGGCTTCTCGATGGAGGAGTCCTTCTCGGGCTCATCGTCCTTGTCATCGTGATCCTCGGCATTCTCCCTCAGGATTGCTCGCCTCCGCTTTGACGGGGACAACGGCTTGGACTTCGACCTCTTGACACCCCTGCCCTTCTTGCCTGCCTTGGCCTTTGGCCCACGTTTCTTGCGGCCCTTGACTTTCTGTCTCAAGAGCAACTGATCTCGTCTCATGAGCACAGGCTTCTCCACCTATAGGGCTTTTGCAGGTTTACATCGGGGAGGCTGTGGAAATTGAACATCTCTAATAAACCAATTGAACCACTGGCCTCAGAGTTGCTCTCAGTGAAGCCTTCTGCAGGCTCTGCATCGGCGGCCTCCGGCGGCGCTGCGGCCTCCGGCGGCGCTGCGGCCTCCGGCGGCGGCGCTGTGGCCTCCGTCTCTGGCTTCGCGAGCCCTGGCTTGAAGCAACCCTCGGCAGCTGAAGTGCCGACCATGCAATCCCAAGGCTGTGTTTCATCCGAAGCGCCAGCACAGCTAAAGGAGGAATGCGTAGAGGTTCCTGCACATTGGCACCCGGTAAACTATCCGAATACTTATTCCCTGACCTCATAATTGTGATAAGCACCAGTCAAACATAAAGAGTATGAAAAGTCCTGCAACAGTGTCGGCAATGGGCTTGTCCGGGATCTTCTCAGTGGGCTCTTTGGAAGTCTGCATCCTGAGATACGGGAATATATAGACAGGTTGATTAGAATATACCAGGTTATCTTACACCAGCATACATAAATACATCCCGAACCCTATTGTGACCATAGATCATGCCGATTAGGTCCAAGTATCAATGCTAGCCTGGTCTTCAAAGCTGCAACCCGAGCCAGCATCTCTTCACGATTCCCAGCTGATAAGCGTCCTCTTTCAGGAGGGCAGTGACATCTAGAATACGATCATCTATCCGAGACTGTAAGTACATTTATGTGTACTGGGATGAGGAAAGGACTGCATGCATGGTTCATATACAGATTGACAAATGCGACAAAGGCCGTCCTCCGGGAGCAGGTGATGGCGTGAAGGCCAGCTTCGTGGGTACAGGCGGCGAAAGAACCTGAAGGATAATGAGGTTAATCAATTGCCCCCACTCCACATACCAACTGTATATAGAAATAAGCAATCCCAAATCCTGCATACTTGAATTCTATATAGGCAACCTTGTCTGATCCTTCTGATGCCCCCGACATAATAGATGCATCGGAATTGGCCCGTCTCAAGGATCCAGGTTTGGGATCAGGGGTGCAACTCACATCTCCGGGCTTCGTCTCAGCCTTGTTTCGCTGGCTTGGGATCTGGTCAGGGGGCTTCTGCTCGGGGTCCACGGAGTTCTGGTCAGGGGACTTCGGCTTGGCAACTACGGTGTTCTGGTCAGGGGACTTCTGCTCGGGGTCCACGGAGTTCTGGTCATGGGACTTCCGCTTGGCAACTACGGCGTTCTGGTCAGGGGACTTCTGATTGGAGTCCACGGACTCTTTGGCAATGTGTTCGGAGCCAATGGGCACAGCAGGGCAGCCTTTGTCACCAGGTTTGGGCTCAGGGTCCTTCACATCTCCGGGGTTCGTGTCGGCCTCCTGATCAGAGGCCTCGGCCTCATCATCATCATCATTGTCGTAGGCATCTTCATCCTCAGCCGGTTCCGGCTCCTGGCGCATGAACGAAATTAAAAAGTGCGAATCAATGCAACCGGACATTGAAGGAGGAAATAGCGAAGGCCCAGCGAAACCCATGATATATCACTTTTCGATCGAATTGAAGAACAGAAATCCGTTGCAACCCTGGCCTCAAAGGTGCCGTGCTTCTCCGCCTTGCGCTCGTTGACAGCATCGACCACCGCCTCCGGTGAAAATGCCCGTGGGTTTAAAGAGAGGCAAAGCCATATCAGACATATTCCGCAGCGATCGAGAGTCTGAAGGCTTGTTTAAGGAGATTGGGGTGATAACCGTCGTTCAACACTCCTATCCTGCTCCCTTCAATATGCCGTGCAATCCTATATATAATATCTTACTTGAAGTAGCTCACCCTAAGCCGGCCTGAAGCATCGGATCCAAAGCCAAGCAGAGCTCCTGGAAGGTGGGATCCTGAGGCGTGAGTTGGTTGGTGATAAGAATCGATAAGGTTACACCCTAAACAACTGTACCAACTGAAAGACTGAACCCTTCCAAAAGTTTAATCACGTGCTACCGGAACACCTGGCTCACCTCCTCCCGTCTCACTTTCGCTTTGACATGCGACAGCAGCTTGCGGACGTGTATCGCCTCGCTGGCAACACACCCTGCGACATCAGGGCCGACACGCTTGTTCACGGCAAAAGCCTGCGTCATCTCGCACCGGAGGTCTCCCACAGAAGGAAGCTTTCTGTCCGGGCTGTCACGCATAGTGTGCAACACTGGTAGCAGCACGTTGGAGTTCAAAATGCAAACATTGTTGTCGCAAGAGAGTCCACTATTAGTATGCATCAGCCCAAACCCATCGCGCACCCTCTGCCTCACATCGGGGCTCGAGTCCCAAGCTGTGTGGATCCCGATTATGTTCAATCCTGGCTCCGCCGCCTCACCAGCGAAGGGCTTTGCACCCTTCTTTGCATTGCGAGGCATGATTCGTCCTGATCCTACGACGAGCCTGGCAAATCTTGAGCTCAACTCACTTGCGGACTTTGCATCAAGATCGCAAGATATCGAAAACTGACTGCCCTCCTGAATGCTTCCTGCCGGAACTGAGATCGCAGCTGTGGCACGAAAATCGCACCGATGCCATTGACGGCAAGTGATGCCATCACTGACCGAGAAATCTATCTGATAAGGATCTTGAGGGGCCCGTTTAAACCCTTGACATGTCGTGTGGCCTTACATCGACCCAATTCTTGTCCTACCCATCGCCTCTCTCTCTGAGCCGGCATGAAGGCCTGGGATCAGATTTGTTTGGAGGTTGTTATTGGTCGTTCGGGAAGTCATTTAATGGGGTTTCTAAGAATGCCCTACCAAACCCGGGGTTTTATAACAAGACACGGGGTCTACGTCAGAATGCTTCGAAACCTCGGGTGTCAATATAGAACCGCTTATTTTGTAGGTTCTAGGATCCACAGGTACACATACATTGAAAATTACACACATGCATATCAATATAGATGCTCTGGCAACAGGACTTATCGTCCATGAGATGTTCTGGTGGCTGTTACTCCATGCTAATGTAGGAACCTTTTGCAGAAACCCTGGGCCTATACTCGGGCCTATAATCCCAAAATAGTAGGATTCGTATTAGGAACCCGAATGAAAGCCCAGGGTTTCTTAATCAGGTTCCTACATTAACCATCTTCCTTTAACCTTATAGGATTCTAAATATGAGCCACAGAAAAGGAACTACTTTGGGGCCTTACGGTAGGTTTATCGTTACTGTTTTGGTTCAGCGCAGTGACTGAAGCCCGTGAGTCGCAAGCTTTCAGAAGTGTTTTCACCCTTGGTTCAGGGTTTAGGGTTTAAGGGATTAGAAACTTCTTGCGAGGATTCTTGGTTTAGGGTTTAAGGGATTAGAAACTTCTTGCGAGGATTCTTGGTTTAGGGTTTAAGGGGTTAGAAACTTCTTGCGAGGATTCTTGGTTTAGGGTTTAAGGGATTAGAAACTTCTTGCGAGGATTCTTGGTTTAGGGTTTAAGGGATTAGAAACTTCTTGCGAGGATTCTTGGTTTAGGGTTTAAGGGATTAGAAACTTCTTGCGAGGATTCTTGGTTTAGGGTTTAAGGGATTAGAAACTTCTTGCGAGGATTCTTGGTTTAGGGTTTAAGGGATTAGAAACTTCTTGCGAGGATTCTTGGTTTAGGGTTTAAGGGATTAGAAACTTCTTGCGAGGATTCTTGGTTTAGGGTTTAAGGGATTAGAAACTTCTTGCGAGGATTCTTGGTTTAGGGTTTAAGGGATTAGAAACTTCTTGCGAGGATTCTTGGTTTAGGGTTTAAGGGATTAGAAACTTCTTGCGAGGATTCTTGGTTTAGGGTTTAAGGGATTAGAAACTTCTTGCGAGGATTCTTGGTTTAGGGTTTAAGGGATTAGAAACTTCTTGCGAGGATTCTTGGTTTAGGGTTTAAGGGATTAGAAACTTCTTGCGAGGATTCTTGGTTTAGGGTTTAAGGGATTAGAAACTTCTTGCGAGGATTCTTGGTTTAGGGTTTAAGGGATTAGAAACTTCTTGCGGTTTAGGGTTTAAGGGATTAGAAACTTCTTGCGAGGATTCTTGGTTTAGGGTTTAAGGGATTAGAAACTTCTTGCGAGGATTCTTGGTTTAGGGTTTAAGGGATTAGAAACTTCTTGCGAGGATTCTTGGTTTAGGGTTTAAGGGATTAGAAACTTCTTGCGAGGATTCTTGGTTTAGGGTTTAAGGGATTAGAAACTTCTTGCGAGGATTCTTGGTTTAGGGTTTAAGGGATTAGAAACTTCTTGCGAGGATTCTTGGTTTAGGGTTTAAGGGATTAGAAACTTCTTGCGAGGATTCTTGGTTTAGGGTTTAAGGGATTAGAAACTTCTTGCGAGGATTCTTGGTTTAGGGTTTAAGGGATTAGAAACTTCTTGCGAGGATTCTTGGTTTAGGGTTTAAGGGATTAGAAACTTCTTGCGAGGATTCTTGGTTTAGGGTTTAAGGGATTAGAAACTTCTTGCGAGGATTCTTGGTTTAGGGTTTAAGGGATTAGAAACTTCTTGCGAGGATTCTTGGTTTAGGGTTTAAGGGATTAGAAACTTCTTGCGAGGATTCTTGGTTTAGGGTTTAAGGGATTAGAAACTTCTTGCGAGGATTTGGTTTAGGGTTTAAGGGATTAGAAACTTCTTGCGAGGATTCTTGGTTCTAGGGTTTAAGGGATTAGAAACTTCTTTCTTGGGATTAAGGGATTAGACTTGCGAGGATTCTTGGTTTAGGGTTTAAGGGATTAGAAACTTCTTGCGAGGATTCTTGGTTTAGGGTTTAAGGGATTAGAAACTTCTTGCGAGGATTCTTGGTTTAGGGTTTAAGGGATTAGAAACTTCTTGCGAGGATTCTTGGTTTAGGGTTTAAGGGATTAGAAACTTCTTGCGAGGATTCTTGGTTTAGGGTTTAAGGGATTAGAAACTTCTTGCGAGGATTCTTGGTTTAGGGTTTAAGGGATTAGAAACTTCTTGCGAGGATTCTTGGTTTAGGGTTTAAGGGATTAGAAACTTCTTGCGAGGATTCTTGGTTTAGGGTTTAAGGGATTAGAAACTTCTTGCGAGGATTCTTGGTTTAGGGTTTAAGGGATTAGAAACTTCTTGCGAGGATTCTTACAAGACACCAGGTTAAGCAACAAAAAGCATTGGAGACTGTGGGCTCTACTGGACTGTCTGCACCTACCAAAACCTACTTTGTTGGTAGGGTCCCTATAGATTCCATATTAAGGTTTATAATAAGAGCCTACAGAAAAAGTAGGGTTTAGAAGGTTAAGGTTTCTGAAGAAACGGTCCTGGCTCCACAGTTGGGGACGCCGCTGCCCACACTCAGCTCCAGAAGCGACGTCGGGCTCGGCCTCAACTAAAAAGGGACTTGGGCTAGGTTTACTGTAGCCGGAAAGACCTACGTACCTTTTTTAGGTTCCTTATCGTAGATTTTATAAATAGTTCCTTAAAAGTAGGTAGGTCTTTTCGGCTACGGGTAGGTTTTAGTGACTAAGAAGCAGGCTCACGTTCAGAGCTAGTTCAAACCCTTCAGCCTCAAATAGTTGGAGAAATGTCGAAACGGACTGCATGCAGGATTCAGCTCGACCTCTCGGGCATAGGACATCGAGGCCAAGTAGCCCAGAGATGGCTCGACGAATGAGAGGTGCAGAAGCACCTGACAAACGATCGGGTCTGAAGCACTTGTGAGCCTTTTCACATGGCGTGAGGATTGGTGGCGGGAGGCGGGGGCGGGGGGAGCGGGTGTTTGGGGTTGGAATGTTCAAGACTTCCGTGGTTTTCTAGCCCCCAGCCAGCTACAAATCAGGTGACTTCCCCTCCTGTTCATTTGGTGGAATAGGGGGTTGGGGTACAATACAGTATATTTATAAACAGGCAACCAACAGAATAGCATTAAACATCCACAAAATTAAGAGTCCTTTCGAGACTTTCGAGGCTTCGACACCCGGTTTCTGCATGGAGCCAAGTACTTCGAAACGAGACGTTGGGAAACCTTCTGCGCATACTTGAAAGATCTTCTCCAACGGAAGGAACTGCACACATAGATGCTGAACAGCAAGATCCTTCCATTCATACTGTGAAGAGGACTCTCGGGAATCAGAGGAAGTAAGCTAGCGATTAGCGATACGAGTTTGCCAGCAAGTAAAGGCAGAACGAACGAGAATAAAAGCAAGAAATCTAAGCTCATTGACAGCAAGAACTGCCCTCGAATTAGTCGAAAATTCACCAGTAGGCTGCTGTCGGGCTGTGCTGGCTTCAATAGGATACCCTAGCCCTCAATGCCCAACATCGCGACTCATTCAAGCCTACAGACCCTAAAGCTGATAAGCCAAAACCGAGAAGCCTCAACTTCCCGTGAAAGAGCAAGCCCAAACCTGCAGCACCTTTGGCATAGCACGCCCGTTTGCGTCGAAGAGCCGAAATATCTGGTAAACCAAAATCACTCCTCAACTCCGAAAAATCCTCAACGAAAATCGCACAATAATCTCTGTGGACCTGCAGCTGCTCGAAAAGTCAAGAGCAGTTGCAGCGCATGCCAGAGCCTCCACCAGCTCCGTGCACATGCTGCAGAAGGCTTGGCAGTTGCGGTACATTATGGTAATCATAGTACGGAAGCTCAATGTACAGTAATTGAAATTCATCTGTAAGCCTAGAGGCTTAGAGGGTTTAAGGTTCAGGGTTCATTCGTGCCTGGTACTTGGTCGTGAAGGCTTCAAAAAGGAGTTGAGCAGCCCCTAACAGCAATGTTAATAGCAACAGCAGTAGTATTACTTAGAAGCTGCCCCCACCCTGTAATAGTGACTGTAAGAATATATATATATATATAAGGGCCCTATGAAACCTATTATACCACTATTAAAACAGGGTGGGGGCCCCTTCTAAAGTATTACTGACAAGAAGGCTATCCTTAGGAACTCGGAGTGCATGAGTCATGGTGTGTGGAAGAGCTTATGCCTAGTTGCTGAGTTCATAAGCCCCAACAAGTGTACACTTTCAGTTCTATAGTGGGTAATGTTACCCCCCCAAAAGTCTAAAGTGCATCCACTCATCTACTAAGTATACCCAGTTACGCAAAGAAACCTACTAACAAAGCCTCAAAAGAGCAGACCGATTGCAAGACTGCTCAAAGCACCAAGCGTCTTCACCTTATTGGCTACACGTATGGCAGCTGCAACGACGACGCTGACGACCGCTCCTGCTCTTCCTAGAATCAGTACGACTATTGACCGGTTTCTGGAGATTGACAATGACTTTACTGAACAGTGCATACTGTCCTTGCTACAGGTATGGCCGGAAATTATACAAATGAATCGCATGCAAACTCGCGCTACCGCCATGGTTGGAGCTAGTCTCTTCCGATCATTTCTGTTGCGATGACTCTTAGTCTTGAGCTATTGCCGCTTATGTCTGCAAACTGGATGCGACTGCGCCTACCATCGTTACTACAGTTTGTCACAGCCATGGAACACCAAACCTTCTTCAAGACAACAAGATAAACAACAGCAGGAAGAACAAGAGGTGTAATTTTAGCAGCTATCACCACATGTGTCATTGCCACCATTAGTCCGTGGGGGACAGGTAAATCCCAACTGAGTGCAGCCAAGATACATGGTTCGCCCTCACCCAGATCGGGGTGGCAGAGAAAGACACTCCGGTTCGTTGTTGTTACGCATCTTCAGCTTAACATTCCGAGCTCCTGATAGTCGCCTCTGCATGTCTTGATGCTTCAGGGAGGATCTTGGGCATGTGGCTCGGGGCTGTGTCGAAAGGCGGCCTTAAAACTTATTGATCCCCCTCGCGCCGCCCAACACCTACAACCTTCAATCCTACTTCTGGAGGCCTAAATACCTCCTTGCTCCCCGTAAAGTTGGGGAATATAGACAGGCCTGACCTGAGAAAAGCTGCGGAAAACAGCTGCCGTCCACAACACTAGACTTGAATTTCAAGTTTTTGTACGTCAGTCTTTTCGTCTCAATTGACAGAGGATTCGAGAGGCTTTTCGGGCTGGCGTTACGCATTAACACCGTAACGTACAATTTTCTCAGTCTCAACTATCGAGTATCTGTTGGGCTTCGGGCTGGAAGGCCCCCACCCTACCATGGAAATTGAAGTGCATGTTTACTAAACCAACACGAAAACCTTACCAGTGATGTCTTTGGCCCGACTCCGAACGAAATCTTGCGCCTGTATAGGCATCCCTAATGCAGGGCTGAAGGAAAACTGAATTCCAAATTCAGCCTCTCAAAAACCTATTCTCAAACATAAACCCATCCATGCACGGACTTGAAACCCGAAACCTTGACAATCCATTCTGAGACGCTTGACAATGTAGGACAATCTGACTTTCGCTCTAAAGGAACAGGGTCTATAGGGCAAGGATTTTTTGAACAGCTGCTTCGCCTGAAGTTGGAAAAATTGACAGCAATCACTAAGCAAACGGGCTTTTATGCGCTGCTCTTCTTCAAGCCCAGTGAGGGTTTCCGACGATAGTTGAGGACTCCTTAAAAATTTGTGGATAAGGAATTTAAGTAACGACCCGCTGATTTCTGCAGGCTCCTGTGGAGACTACCCGAACTGCTTAAGCCTACGCGAAGCACTATAGAGCGCCTACTATGCCCATGCAAAGCCACACATCTCCCGTGCACCGGCTCGGAGCTCTTTTCCTGTCAGTCGCCGGTGCCGGCACTGGCGGCACCTGGCATCATTTCCTGATTCTGATCCCTTAGCCTAAACCCTGCATCCGATACTGAACCCCTCAAGCATAGGTTGGGTTGTCGAAGCTTGTATTGTGGCACCACCATGTCCGATTCTCTTCGGAGTCGTTGATCCTTACCTGTACGAGAATTTACCTTCTCAGTGGCTAGCCAGATCCTTGCATCGCGGCATTTCGTGCTCACCCGACTCTAAACCCTAAACCCTGAACCTTCAGCCCTAAACCCTAAGCCCTATCCCCTAAACCCTACGCCCTAAACCCTAAACCCAAAGCCCTAAACCCTAAGCCCTAAACCCTAGAATCCCTAATGCCCTAAACCCTAAACCCTACATCTGCCTTCGCCCTCGGCACCGTCCCGGGCGCATCGCTTGGTACCGCGCCGCCGCTCCTGACTGGGTCTAAGGGGACTTTATAATTGGAATAGGTTTCCTTTGAAATTAAAAGAGGGTCTATATAAGGGCCACTACAAGGGCTGATTATTTTGGATGTGCTATAGGGGCCGTAAGAATTAGAATAGGGCTCCTCTTAAAGGGGTCTATATACGGTACTATAGGGGCCTTAAGAATGAGAGTAGGGTTCCTGTTAAAGGGGTCTATAGAAGGGCTACTGTAAGGGCTACTACAAGGGTACTAGTATAAGGGCCTTAATGATTAGAATCGGGCCATGGGGTATAGTAGACGATAACTAGAACAAGGAGCCCCCAAAATAGTATTGGTAATTTTGTAGGCCCTCATATTATGTGGGGTTTACTGCAGACGGTGTACGAGTGAGGGACGCATCTATTTTAGGGCAGGTGGGTGTTCAGACTCTCAGGGCTTAGAGTGGGTAAAGCTACCGTAAGATCAATCCCCAATCGGCCTCCAATGCGGCTTTGTAGGGTGCTGCGATGGGAGGAGCGGGCGGCTCCAGAACGCGGTGGTCATTGGCCACAGGATAGTTGGTGTCCTGGGCATCAGAAACCCAAACTCTGGAAAAAATGCAATCTCTGGAAGTCCAAAGAAACCTGTGAGCCACTCAAGACGTACAGAATGTCTCACTCCCGCTGACAGAAAAATATCCTTCCGGACTGCAACTCAGCACACACTTAGCCCTAGCGAATCGCAGCATGAGAAACTGAACGACAAAGCTCCGGATGTCATAAGAGATCGTATCTTCAAAACACTGGGAAAGTTGAGGCGAAAGCCCGAAACCCCAAGGCTAAACGCTAAAATCTCCACATCTCTCTAAAGACACCTCGTCGAGTCCAACATGCCGGTTTGCCGGCCCACGGCCCGCACGGGTAACCTACCTCCTACTTCCCGATGTCATTGTAGGATTTAAAGGGTCTAGGGCCGCTTCCTGATGCCATTCTAGTGCTCCTAAATGTTTGTGCGTAACTCTTGCTGCTATGTGATGAGGAATGCTGTTGGACAAGTATGTTCATGCACCTGCATCCCCGTCGCAACAACTTGGTAACAATCAACAACCATCCCGTCCATTCCTGCCTCCCCCCCCCCCCCTAAACTGGCCGAGGTCTCTCTGAAGTGCCTCCCTCAACCGGCCCTGAACCCTAAACCCGATATTCAAAATTTGGGTGCTTGTCAAAATTATGGTCCCGCTTTGGGTCCTTATTATTATTACGGTACCTAATATTTAGGGTACCCAAAAGGGACCATAATTTTGACAACCACCCATTCAAAAGCTCTGGATCGCCTCCCCGAACCTCCGAGCACCGAAACACTCCGCAGCTTGGGGACGATTTTTGGTTTGGGGGCTTGGCTTGGGATTTTCGGGTTTAGGGCTTCGCCGCGAATAAGTGGCCAAATCCAGAAGCTTGAAAGCACCTGGGTTCTTGTCAAGGAGCTTAATTAAAAAAATAAGTTACCCGAAGGGGTATCTATAGTATAACCTGGTGTCCTTGTTATGGTAACTGAAACCAAGTTTCTTGTCAAGAGCCCAGAATAGAAACCCGCAAACCTTACCTAGAGCCCGTAAGATCCAGAACCCGGTAAAGGCACTCTCTGTTGCAGCACAGGAACGGCATCGAGGCTGTCACCTAGCTGAATGCAGGCTGGTGGAGCGAGGGCTCGGGGTTTCGGGGGTTTCGAGTCTCGGGGTCTGGGCTTTAGCATTCAGGGTTTAGGGTTCTGGGGTTTAAGATTTTTGATTTCGGGGGTTTATAGGGTTTTGGGTTCTATGGGTTTAGGATTGAGGGCTTTGGGATGGTGAGTTTGGGTTCTTCGTCCCAGCTGGTTTTGCGCTTTGGCGACGCTGGTGAAGAAACCCCAAACCTCTGATATGTATTAAAGTACGAAGAACTTCGCGGAAGGGAGCTGATTTTAATGCAGCTATGAGCCCTCTGACGACCGTATGGGTTTAGGGCTTATAGGGTATGACGACAGTATGTACTCCGATAACGTCCCGACAAAACGATGACCCTCGTTGGGAAGCTAGCGAATGCCTACTTGGAAATTTACATATGGCCCCTATAAACCCAAAGGGTCCAAGTACCATTATAGTAGGTAGTTAGTAGGTATATGGGCCTACTGTACTATTACTTGGACCCTATAAAGCCTAGTAAGCCGCTCTCGGTGTTTAGAGGCTTTGGGGGAGGGGGGTTGGGGGGGCGGGTCTTCGGCTTTATGGGTTGTAAAGCTGCCAGACTGGTGTCGATGGATGTCATAATTGAAATAGGGTTTTGGTGGGTTCCTTGTTATACTTTTTGCATCATTAACACCCCCCAAAAAAACCTATTCCAATTACTAAGGCCTCTACATCGTAGAACCCTCTGATCGATCCCTTAAAGGAACCCTTTTTTGCCTCAGGACTTGTGCAATCGCCTGAAGAACATGGACGGAAGGTCAGCACTCCTGACTGCACTTCCATACCTTGCTCAAGAAACTAGTAGGGAAAGGAACCCTTTTTGCTGCAGGCTTGCTTGCAAGGTCCTTTCCCTAAACCCTTAAACCCTAGGCCCTAAGCCCCATTCTAATTACTAAGGCCCCCTACATTAAGATCAGATCATCCCTTTTCAAGCACGGACTTTGAGTGTATGCCGCTGATCCCTAAACCCTAAACCCTAACCTAAACCCCTAAATCCCTACACCCTCACCTAAACCCTTAAACCCCTAAACCCTAAGCCCCAGACCCTAAAACCCTAAACCCTAGAACCCTAAAACCCTAGAAACCTAGATCCCTAAACCCTAAACCCCCTATACAACCCTTATAAATCCCTCTAAGGAGCCCTTATAGACCCCTCTTAAACCCGTGAACCCTACACCCTAGAGTCAGTCGAGTCTCTGCCGCCGCAGGCGACGAAGGCCGCCACCTGCGAGGGAGCACCCGGCCCCAGGTCTGCCAGAGCCTGGCGGTTTAGGGTTTCTTGGGGGGGGGAGGGGGGGTTTAGGGGTTCTGAGAGTTTAGGGGTTTTGGTGGGCTTCGATTTTGGGGGGGGTTAGGGTTTGTTGGGGTTTTGGGGGTTTGGGGCTTTAGGGCTTAGCGGTTTAGGGCTTTTTGCCTCCGGGGTTTAGCGTCGAGGGCGTAGTGTCATATTTTTATACATGTCTGAGGCAGAAATTTCGGAAATTTCGACGATGACAACGGCCTGAATCCATTGGGCGATCTGAACATTCAACCTGAACTTAATTAAACAATTATCTTAGCAGGACACCGAAGATAACACCACTGGCCATGATAACACCGTGGAGGACCATGAGAGGGTAGATCGTGGGAAGGGGGACATCCGACAGGGAAGGCTTCAGACTGTATGTATGCCAAAAAAGTATTCTGGAATGCTTGCTGCTGGAATTGGCTGACATGATGGTATAGTGACCGTAGATACACTAGAACGAGATCGGGTGCTTGGAGACGGCATGGCAAACAAGCTGTCCAGTCCTTCCCTCCACATGTTTCGAGTCTTTGGTCAATCTTTTCTCAGAGCGAAACCTCGAAAGTCGCGAAAATCTGACAACCACCGTGCAGGCAGCCCACGCTACAACTTGAATGAGAAACATGTGGGTCGGAATAGACTCAGAGACATATATGTTGCTGATTGTGGACTCTTCAGGTTACGTGAGCGCACACTGGGATTCAGTTTTGGAGTTGGGGCGATTCTGGCGTGTTACATGTCGTCCAGGCCCCCTGGCTGCTACACAAGTGACAACTTTGTTGGGGAGAAAGGTCGGCCACTTCGTGCTTCTGAGGCTCTTGGGGTCGCGGGATGATAGGCCCTGATAGGCCGATGAACCGGAGGCACTAAAACCTTAAACCGCGAAACCTTTGACAACATCTTTCGATACCGCTGGGAAGCAGCCGAGTGCAGCGCCCAGACTCCCAACCCTCATCAGAAAGCCTATTGTGGCTCAAGGCTTCGCACCGGTTCGGTGTTACAGAGTCCTTTTCGGCACGATCTCCTGAAGCCCAAACAGACCCGTGATCACAGCAACTAAGCTTCTCATAGCTTGATGAAGCGCCTCGTGCCGTTCAGGGGCATAGGCCTCGCCGACTCCAACTCAATCCCATCTCACGAAGGTGGGAGTTTCCGAAAATAGGCGACCCTAATATAGTACACTAAAAACTAGGATCCTTATTATAAGGACCCGGAAACTCCCATGTTGAGCTTTCATGATTATGTGAAGTGTGCCAGTGAAAATTTTGTCTGCAGAAGTTTAACGTAGTTGACCTGATTCAGGGTGCAAGCGTCCATGCCGTACATCGGTTTGTACTCTACCTTTTGGGGGCCTCAACAATGCGAACGGCAAAGGTATAGGTAATCTTGTCCGAAATCTCCATCCCCCCAGCCGTGTACTTTAACTTTATAAGGCTTGCCATGTTTTCCATCATCTCAACCTATACTTGTAAGTGACCATCTATAGGGGCACTCTGCAATGGAATGCAATGGATGCCAAGCATAGGGCAGTGTCTCCCTCTTCGAGGTTGGCGAGGAAGCCGCGGCACACCTCGGAGTACGTCGACACGAGTAGTCACTGAGTAGTCCTATGTAGCTTGAGAATCGATTGAGTGGTGTGGGCCGGCGGCACGCTGCAATCTGGACGACCCGCGCCGGGCCATACGTGCGGCTATTAAAAACATAAGTAAGCGAACACAGTAGCAAATAATGAGTACCAACACTGTGCTGTAGGATGCACGTGCTCATGACAATATGCATGAATAGCATATCATACAGCAATCGCACGCACGTGTCTCCTAGAAACACACCTGAATTACGTGACTATAAAAACAAGCTAAAGCCCAAAGCCCTGAATGTCAACATATCAGTGCTACACTCCAAAGCCCTCGACCCCATTTTCAGAACCCCTACTCGAGATCTGCCTGATCTCGTGGCATTATACTTCCTGGACGGGCGTTAAATGAAGGGCCGAATACCCTCGCTCAAAGAGATGCACCAAAATGTATCATACCCCAAACAGTCAAAGCGCCCCAAGCGGATATCAAGCCTGAAACGAACCCAGAGACTCCAATGTCCCTTAGTTAAGGAATATATACCTGAAGCTATAGCAGGATCCCTAATATTATTTACGGGTATGTTCCTTACTTAGGTTGGAGTCCCCTCAACCCTAATCCCTATAGATCCCATCAAAGATCCCGTTAAGGAACCCTTATAGGATCCTTTTAAAGGAGCCCTAGGTCCCCATACATCCCTTATATGGATCCCTTTAAGGAACCCTTATGACTCCCTTTTAAGGGAACCCTTATAGATCCCTTTAAGGAACCCTTTATATGGATCCTGTTAAAGGACCCCTACTTAGGGGTACTTAGAAACAATTTCTAATTTTTGGTTATTATAATCCCTAAGAAAAAACAAAAATTACAATTTTTGCTAGGGTTCGAAGTTCAGCATAGCCCCTAGGAGTCTCCGGGAAGCTCAGCCCGAGGAGCAACGAACGACTCCTGGCTCGAATTGCGCGAAGCCCGGGGCTTGCAGCAAAGCACCTCCTGGCAGAGGGGTTTAGGGTTTCTTGGGGGGGGTTAGGGGGGGGTTTAGGGGTTCTGGGAGTTTAGGGGTTTTGGGGGTTTAGGATTTGGGTGGTTTTGGTTTTGGTTTTTGGGGTTTAAGGTTTAGGGGTTTTAGGGTTGAGGGTGTTAGAGGGTTGTATCAAGGGTTCCGGGGATTTGGATTTGAGGGCTGAGCGACTATGGGGTTCACGGATTTGGGTGTAGGGCTTCTGGTATGAACAATGAGGTTTAGAGTTGAAAGGTTTTTTTGAGCTCCTTTTTATGTCTGCCCCTCATCCAGGCAGAGTTGAAAGGTTAGGGCTTAAGGTTGCCATAGGCTTGGCACCGAAAGCTGCGGGTCAAAAGCTCAAGATGTTTCGCCTCTGGTGGGCAGAAGACATGTGAGATCCAGGTAATTCCCTTCTAAGTCTAAGCCCTAAACTCTAAACACCCCTGCCCCCTAACCCCTAAAAGCCCCAACCTCCAAGGCCCCCCCCCCTAAACCCCTAAATCCCGAGCGGCTGGACTATGGGGTTGAGGAGCTTAAAGCAAAGATTCCAGAAAAGCCGAACCTCAGCCGATCTGCATCCCTCTATGCCGAACTCCCCCCGACATCGAAACTCTAAACCACAAAACTACCGTTTTGCGAAGACTTGCACATGTCCGCCTGGATCTCAGAGCTGCTGCACAAAGCAACCTAAACCCTCAAACCTTAAGCCCTTAACCCCGACGTCGCACCAAAGGGGGCCATCATTAACCAGAAACTGCTCTGAAACCCGAAACCTTAATGATATAATATATGAATGACGCATAACATAATATGACATCTCGTAACAACATATATAGTAACACATGATATCATATAACATAAACAAACTAATAAAACATATAGTATCGCATGATAATATATAGCATTAACATACTTAATAAAACATAATAGGATACCATCCGAAGTCTGTCCTCGAAGTCTCGATTCAGTCTTGCGTACAGCTCCCCTGAGTGCTCGCCTCACGAAGTCTGGCGGACGGCTCGATGTGCCCATAAGGGGGTCCTTTAAGGGATCTATGGGGGTTCCTTTAAAAGGGTCCTTGAAGGGATCTTTTGGGGTTTCTTCAAGGTGGTCCTGAAAGGGATCTTTCGGCGTTCCTTTAAAGGAGGTCCTTTAAGGGATCTTTGGGGGTTCCTGTTTGGGATCTCTGCGGCTTCCTTTTTGGGGGGGTACCTAAAAGGGTTTCATAAGGGGCTCCGTTAAGGTTCCTACAAGGGCCTTTGGGTTCAGGGTTTAAGGGTCCATGGACCTTTATGGGTGGTCTTCAAAATTATGGTCCCAACTTTTTGGGTCCCTAACATAGTACGGCAGCTGATATTTAGGGTACCCTTTAAAAGGGACCCTAGTTTTGACAACCACCCTTCTATAGAATAGACTGACTAGGCCTTACACGGGTCCCTGTAAAACTACATCAAGGCCTAAGTATAGACGAGATAGGTACGCGGAGCCTTAGGGGAACCCGACCTGCTGTTGAAACAGAAGCGATGCCCTAGCACCACCTGTTTGTCGCGTATCATGGGAACCAAAGGTTACAGTAACCTTTTTGGTTATATAGGGATTATATAGGGGCTATACTACACAAAGAAGGTTAAAGGTTGCCTAGGACCAAGTCAACATACCCCGATTTGGACATGTTTTGACACTTACACTCGGGCAAGCCTGGCAAGGTCTGCAGCAATACTGTTTCGACGGCCGCTTAATGATTTGGACATTTAGGGGTGTGGCCCTAGAATTCAATGAATCCTTTAGCTGGCAGAGTTGCGAGCTACAGGTAGGGCCTATACATGGTGTTCCAAGCCCTCGCTGCACTGAGAAGCGTTTCGGGATGTAAGGGCGTTTTCCGAGCACCTACTCCGAGATCACTATGGAGTCACTATAGACAGAGCACAGATCGTAGAGCTGGTTTTGATGGCTACGTTCAGGGAGCTTGGCAGCTTCGGGGCAAGCTACCACCGGTTGCTTAAAGGATCATGGGACTTTGTAGGGATATAAACAAGGTAACTATACTTATAACCACTTATACGCCCACATAAGGTACTTCTAACCTGACTTACTAAGTCCCATGATCCTCCAAGTGCCAAACCGCGCCCGACTCCATCCGAGTGGGCAACCCACACCCAAAGTCGTCACCTGAAGCTCTCAACATGGGAGTTTCCGAAAATCAGGGGTACCTTTTTTGGGGGTCCTTATAATAAGGATCCTACTATTTTTTTTTTACTATATTTGGGTCCCCTATTTTCGGAAACTCCCACATCCCACAACTCTCCCTGAACCCAATCCTGCGGAGCACTCTGATTTTGCATGCATTCGGCTGTCCGGGCTTGGTATTTTGCATGCGGGCGGCTCCATTTCTCCAGTGTCGGGCCTAATATACGGGCCGTAATACTTATATATGATGATCGGGTTGTGGTTTGTCTTGGTGCAAGTTGCAGTAGAAATGCAAGGGGACCGGGGATAATTCCACTCCAGATCATAATCATCCGTCTGAGGCTCAGCGCAAACCGGACATCCTGAAAAAGGGATTGAAGTCAAACCCAAGTCGTCTTTGTGGGCAGTTGTGTCAAGGACTCAAAACCAGCAGTCTAAAGCTCAGAGAGCACAAGCTGTAAACTCTGACAATGCCTGGTATCTAGACGCACGACCACGAAAGCCAAAAAAGCCGGACACCTCAAAGCAGAGACCCTAAATCTCAAGGCCCTACTAATAAACTGTGATCACCAGTATCCAAAAATGCAAGAACTCTGACGAGCCCAAAACCCAAAGCTCTAATCAGAGCCGAAGCAAACCCAACTCCCTAAAGCCCGCAAGCACATCCCCAACCAGGACGAACAACCCCAAATCCCAAACCCAAATCCTGAAGCCCCAAGTAGACTAACTCGGCCTGAAGACCGCGACCCCTGGAGTGTTTGCCGTTCCCGCGTAAGCAACCGGGCGCCGTCTACCGGAAAGGCAGGAACTCACCGACGGGAAATTCTAACACTGGTACAGATATAGACTATACTGAACTTAGAACCTTAGCAAAATTCTAATTTTAGCTGCTTCTTAGGGATTATAGTAGCCAAACATTAAAGACTATTTCTAAGTACCCCTAAGTAGACTCCTATATATGAGGTTTATGGGGCTTCCAGCCCCAGGTAGTCACTCTCTGCGTAAGTTTATCTTGGAGGGGGGATCAACACATTCAGATGGTGAATCGCATGGTGCGTATGACGATGGTGGAGATGATGATGGTATTGTCGATGCTGATGGTGATGATGATGATGAAGAGAAGCAAGATGATGACGGCGACGGCGACTACTCCTGGTAATGGCTGTCGCCAGCAAGATGAATTAACGAAGGAAACACGAAACGAACAACAAAACAAAATATGAATGAATGAATGAATGAACGAAGGAATGAATGAAGGAGGCAAGGAAGTGAGGGAGGACGAGAGGGAGGGAGCGAGATATGTAGGTAGGAATGGAGGGAGAGCGAGAGAAGGGAAGGAATGGCAGGAATGTAGATATGTCGGAACGCGGCTGGCTATATATGCATGTATGTGTATGCATGTATGTTTGCATGCATGTATGCATACACATATTTGACACACAAGTATCCCGTACAGCTGCACGTGAGCTACCAGGTTCTTCAGACCAACACTCAAATTTCTACAAACCCTGGCAGCGAACCGGAATTACCACTACGCCGGGTCAAGACGTTACTGCGCGAATTGTTGCTATTATTAGTATGACTATTGTCATTCCTGTGTCTCAGTACCGCTACTGATTTTTGAAAACCGTTGTTTTTGTTATTAGTGTTCTTCTTCTTCTCGTTCTGAATAGTATTTTTATTGTTCCTGTTGCTGTTATCAAATAATTAGTGCAGTTGATATACCATTAAATTACTACTATCCCGGCTTATTCAACTCTAAGCACGAAACCTGAACCGCGCGGCTCGCACTCGGCATTCGGAGTTTGGAGGGTCAAGGACAGGCCATGCTGACTCTACGGCAATGGGCGCTAGGGGTTTAAGGTTTAGGGTTTGAGGGCTTATAGGGTTTAGGGATTGAGGGCTTAGGGTTCAGGGTTTGAGGGCTTAGGATTAGGGTTCCGGGGACAGCAGTGGGCACTAGGGTTTAGGGTTTGAGGGCCTCATTGGACAGGAATGAACTGGAATCGTGTGGTGCCGCCCTCCGGCATGTCTATGTAAGGCGCGGAGGCCTTCGACGAGGACCCTCGAATTCGCACACTCGCTCAGGAATGGTTGGTGGGGCGAGGATCCCGACATCGGGCTGCTCATGCTGCCCTCACCTAAACAATGATGGGATCCCGTCAACCCCACTATATATAGCCCTCACCTAAACATAGATGAGATCTCGTCAACGCCAGGGTCTAGAGTTGCAATGACCAAGCTTTAGTACGCTTGCCGTACATGCACAAAAAGTCTTGCCCGTGTAAATGTCGCTGGAAGTCCCGTTGACGACCATTAACCCTTACGGGATACCCGTGCCGTTTGGGCTCATGACTTTTACGGTGCCACAGCATCGAAAGCCCCATTAGGACTCGAAGCACAAGACATGGTCTAAGCTTCAAAAGCTGGCCTACACCCCGAAACCCCCTCGCAGCTCATGGTCTTGGTGCCAGGGTCACGTGTACTGCAGAGGTCGAGGCGCAAAAGACCAGGCTTCGGGTATTCAGGGTTCAGCCCTTCTCAGGGGCTGAGTTTACCCTAGCCCAAACAAGGTTAACCATTCCAATTATGGTAGGATGGTTAAAGGATACATTATCAGCTACTAGGCCTTGTACGTCATGCAGTTCCAAGTCTCTCGAATCAACCTGAGCCTGCCAGTGATGCAGCACCTCATTCCTAAACAACCCCGCACCCCAAACCTCAAACCCTAAACAGTGAATGAACCTTATATAAATACAAGTACAAATAAATGAATAAATAACTATATGCATAATATAAAAATACCCTACAAATCCTATATTCCTAAGCCCGAAACAATAGACCCTTAACAGTGAATCCCATATACCCTACATATAAATAAATAAATATATAAATAAATATATATATATATGTATATGTATACATCCTAAACCCGAAACCCTGAAGCCAAAAAACCCGGGTCGGTCTAATGAGAAGCTTCGGGACTCTGGGGCCTCGGTCGGGTTGACGGGAAGCCTTGCGGCTCGCTCCAGAGGGAGCCTTCCCGTAAGACTCCGTGTGCCTACATGTGTACATACATGTATATATATATATATATATATATATATATATATATATATATTTATACACATGTATAAATATATCTATACAAGCATATATATATATATATATATATATGTATATATACATATATATATATATATATATATATATACACAGAGAGGGAGAGAGGAAGAGAGAGAGAGAGAGAGAGAGAGAGAATATGAACCTCTAGGGGTTCCATAAGGGGCTCTTTTAAGGTTCCTCAAAAGGCCTGAAGGATTTAAGGGTCCATGGACCATTATATACAGCATAGGCTTAGGCTTTAAGTGTGGTTCCGATTCTAGGTACTTTAAGGCCTATTTCAGCATATACTGCGTAGGTACACGGAGCCTTTGGGTTTAATGGGAAGAAGACAAAAGTTCTTCATAACAGTCGAGCTCCACCACTGACGATTTACAATGTGACCGGCAGGCTTGAAGCGCAGGGAGGGCTGGGGTTTCCGCCGCTGAACACATTCAGCCGCGACACTCATTTCGTGACGGCACCGTGCCACCACGACTATATACTCCCCGCAATACTACAATAGCACAAAAGAACGTGTGTCGACCTGAGTATTTCGAATACGACTTCGGGCTATACATAGGCTTACATGTGTATACATATATATATATATATATACACACATGCTATCAATTGCGGAGCGAATATTCTGGAACAGCAGTATCCCTGACCGGTTTACACCCCTTCACTACCTACTGCCTGCACGGC